GTACGGTGGTGATACCTTTTCATTCATGATTAGATGAATAGTGATTTTTGTTTGATTTGTTCTTTCAAAAAATGTTATGGGAACATAAAACTTGCAATAGGATGTGAACGAATAAATCAACTCATTTTTCTAAAGTGTAGCAAAGAGTCTGTTTTCTCCTGTTTTTCAAGGTACATAGAGACTGTAGGTATGGAAACGGAGCTTTCCTACAGCTTAGGGGATTTCATTGTACAACACCAATCGATCATCAAACCAACACACTCGTGACATCATTTATAGATTTACATGTAGTTGTGGTGAGAAGTATACAGAATCTAATGGGAGGAATATTTCCACTACGTTATTTGAACATTTTCTCAGAATATCATGTCTGGAAGGAATCAATGTCTTTACAAGTGCAACCAGTGACTACCTAATAAATAACGAATATAACTGTGGTGTCTAGTGTTATATAAGGCTCAAATGGGTTACTCTAGCTTGCGAATAGACCAATGTATTTATTTTTCATCAGTTACATCTTGACCTTATCAATTATTCGTTCAATTAATTTGACTTTTTTTAATGCGAGTGTATGTGTTTGTATCGCTTACCTTATTCATCACATTTTTAGCTTATTTTTATCTGACTACAAATACTGAGTCACGCTTGATCAAATCGGGTTGGCACGTTTGCCTTCTCTGAACTGTTTCTTCGCTTCGGTTCACTGATTGTCTTTTTTGATCAATGAGTGTATGAAATGTACGTACCCAGGATTCATCCCTTAATTTACTTATTTGATTCTGTAGTTCACTAGGGCGAATTAAGTCGATAATTACACACAAGGGTAGCAGAAATGTATATTTCGTCGACATCATCGTTCGATGAAGTTGGAGTCAGATCACAGGGCTACTAGAAATTTGTTTATTTCGAAAGCATTCGAATAAACTTATAACCAGCTAACGTCCACCTAACCGGTTTTTATAAAACCACTGTAAACTCTTCAGATGTGAACTCTATGTATATAAGAAAAGTGTGGTAAACCTCTCATTGTAATAGCTAATAGAACTTTAATGAAATAAGTTTTGCTATTGCATACTATTATTAATATTCACATATTCGTTTGATTTTAAATTTAACTATAATAATTCATCGTGCAATCATTTCTTTATTTCCAACTTTACCATGTTCTGTGTCATCATAATCATTGATGAATACGTCTACTTTAAATGATGATCTGTTTTGTTTTATTTCAATATATAAAGACGCTTCACTTGAACTAATTTAATACCACATCTTGTGCCTTTCTCAACATATTATGATTTCAAATTGATTGCCAAACACCCATCTCAGTTTTATTTTACATAGTTATGTAAAGCTGTATTCACTATAACATTATTGATAGTAACTTTAGACTATTTGCAGTTGTTGAGAAGACTTGAAGTAAAGTGAATTCATTTTATTCTTCAAATCATGTTGTTCTTGCTTTAATTAAAATTATCAACGGTGCAGATTGTATCAATATGTTCAAAAGTTCAATGTAAATAAAGCATTCACGCGTTTATCTAAATGTTTGAAGCTGGAGTGAAATGTAGAATGTGAGTTAGGTGTAGGAGCGAACCAAATAAAGGCCTTTAAATCTAGTTTATAGTCTGTTTGGGACTGTACCTAAAATCTTGGCGGCAATGATACTTCAATCGAGATAATCAAAAGTATTTGAATTATTACACGAACTAGGAATCCTAGAAATAACGCAATTTAGACCAAAGATAACGAACGTATTATATTCGGAATTCAAAATCAGGCGGGCATTACGTACAAAGAAAGAATTAGTTCATTTAAACATCACAATTCTCTAAAGTATTACAGTTTACAATTGATCGATCACTGGGTGGCAATCATTGTCATGTATGTCATTTCCTTCTTAGTGTAGATCAAGTCTTTTTGACCAAGTTGCAATGTGGCTACCAGTCTGGGTGACTCCATATTTCATGAACCCTACACGATTTCTTGTTAACTACCTCCAACCACCATATTAAAGTAATACAGTAAATTACTTATACCTTCTCATTCCATTTGTAAACGACATTCATGAACACTTGTTTAAATAGACTAATAATTATCTTTAGTTAGTGAGTCATTCATGTTGGTAGTAGTAAAGTTATCTACTCATTCAGACAAATTTACTAAGATAATAAAATACTTAAATCAAAGGAAATAGGTTTCTTCATTGTTCTTAGCTTCTATTAATTTATACCTGAATGTGTATCAAGATGAAACATTGTTCTAATTTCAGTTTCAATAAAACATTGTAATGATTTTCATAAATTTAGTCTATTAGGTATTAACTCATTCCATATACGTTATGATATAGTACAAACATATTCACCTACAAGACCCATTGAAGTAAAAGAAAAGGCTCTTCGGAAAAGTTCATTTACTTCACTAAATAATCAATTCTTTCTTTTTATAACCACCAATAGTCGAAAATTTCAAGGAAATGGTTTTAAGCTAAATGTGTAGTGTATTTCAAAAATCACTATTACATTTTTTATATTCAGTGAATTCTTTGGTGAAATAAGATTTATCTGCAGGTGCTACTTATCCTTTTATCAGTAAAAGAAGAAAAAACAGCAATAATAGCCAGTGATTATTAAATTACCCATTTAATAACTGCTTTAATTTAACAATATGTAATAGTAATGTAATTAGAATCATAAAATTCTAAGTTCTAAAGGCCAAGGAGATTTGTGGACATCGTTCATTTTTGTGGATTTGTACTATTCTCTTACTATGGCTAGATAACAATTGTAAACCTCGAAACATTAGACACCTGTTTTGTTTGAACATATGAACCATCTCAACTCGCATTCTTGGCATTAAATGATCAGAGATTGGAACTTGAGGCCTCTCAATAAGCTATTAGCATTCAGACGACCAAGTTCTTACCTAATGGTTTAAACTCCTAACTTCAATAATGATCGAAAATCACCCAGTGTCATGGAATGGAAACCTCCACATTATCGACTAGGTTGAATTTCAGTGATCACAGCAACTTACTAAAACTCAGGAAATTAATTCTCGGAATTCGTTAGTGGTAAACATATGTTTATTCTTGGTAGAGAGGCTTTCACACTATTGTGGAGTCCCATTCTACTAAGAAATAGCCATTCGATCCTGCAATTATTTAGTGATTTGAATTAAGAAGTGATGTACTTGTCTTAATGAGTAGTAGATTGAGTTTTGAATGCTTTGCAACTTGGAACAAATCACTTCTTCAGAGGTAAACTAACTTTAAACAGTATAAGGGAATAAATCGTGTATTTAGCAAGAACACGTTTCGATTGAACAGAAAGGGAAAAGAAAGTAAGTTTACACTAAAGTCTCACTAACGCTTATTTAATAACAATTAAATATCCAATATACTTTCCGTCAGACCATCCTAGGCAGAATTAAATAAATAAACAATAGACTGTTATGAAATATAGACGTTCACTACAAAGGTCATCAGTTTCACATCCAAATATTCAGTCCAACTGAAAAATGGTACAAAGTCTAGCCATAGTGAAAATGTTTTGAATCAGGTGTATATATATACTTACAAAAGTTTAGAACCCATATTCTCACATGAAGAAGAAATCAGTTTATCATCTATAACTGGTATCATGTAAAATTCAAAAGTAGTAATTTCCAACTATATAAAAGTCACGTCACAGAAATCGAGAAGTTTGTACTAACTTACGTAGAATTTACTGAAAAAACAACGACCAAACATGATACACATACTCTTTGAAATACGGTGATTTTGTCAATGACTTATGCATTCTGTTTTCAAGGATAAATGGAATACATAGTTGAAAAACACAGATCATATGAAATATATCTGACAGTGAGGTATACAGAGACAAAAATTCAATATTTCCATAGTCGAATCAGACTGTCATAACAAATGAGTTTGGGATAAGAGTTTGAAATACATTTTAATCTGTTTTATTGCTTTATAATACATCATAAACCGTTATACTTTCATTGATAAAATTCCTTATTATGTTTAAACACCAACACTGAAAAGTCCTTATCAAATTTTTGATTATTCCATTTTGATAATAAAAATATATTCAGAAAAAATCAGATCTCTTATCAGAAATATTTTTGACGGAAATCTTTAAAACCAATTATCAGATTTGTGTGATCAATTCACCGTGAGGTGAAAAACTATACTGCTGCTGCTGCTGCTGCCGATGTTGATGATGATGATGATGATCAACTCATCAGTTATTACTCAGACATTAGTTGTTCGACAGAAATTAAAATGAAGTTTGTATGGAATTGTGAAATAATAAGAGATCATGACTGAATTTGTTGATCCTATATTTGGATGAGAAATACATGAAAAATGAGTGGAATTTCTGAATATATATACATATATTTCACAGATTGAAATCATGAGTAAATTGAAGCTAGACCAACATAGAAAACTATGCTAGGACGAAACGGCCGTCCAGTGCTTACAGGTTTTCCATGGTGGTCTAGCTTCAATTGACTCATGATTTCAATCTGTGAAATTTCTAAAATCTTCACAAACCCTTTCTGAAATATATAGCATATTTGTGATGATTGTTTCTATGACATTATTTTTGTTACAGAATTATCTATATCAAAACAAATATAAGAATACTGTTCATGAAGATTTGTGGAGGGCGCTCACAGAGGTATGTCATTGATTTTACTCACTATGGAATTTATTCGTTGACCTAATAATAATATGATTGATAAATTTTGATCTCGTTGGATCACTTATGTCATTTATCTATACCGATTGAAATTTGATATTTCTTGTCAAGTTGTTTTACAACCTACCATATGTAAAAGTTGTGTTAATGATTTCCATACAATATGGCAAACTTTTCATATAACAATATACTTTATTTTCTTTCAGTATATTACCGAATAATAAAGAGAAGTATGTTTACTAAGTGTCATTATTCTTATTCAGCTTAAATTAAGTCACATATACCAGTTTTATGATGATGATGATGATGATGATGATGATGATGATGATGATGATGATGATGATGATGATGATGATGATGATGATGATGATGATGATGATGATGATGATGATGATGATGATGATGATGATGATGATGATGATGATGATGATGATGATGATGATGATGATGATGATGATGATGATGATGATGATGATGATGATGATGATGATGATGATGATGATGATGATGATGATGATGATGATGATGATGATGATGATGATGATGATGATGATGATGATGATGATGATGATGATGATGATGATGATGATGATGATGATGATGATGATGATGATGATGATGATGATGATGATGATGATGATGATGATGATGATGATGATGATGATGATGATGATGATGATGATGATGATGATGATGATGATGATGATGATGATGATGATGATGATGATGATAATAATATCTTCTGTGTCACGTATACGGAAATTAGATTGGATGCGATAATATAGTTTACTATCAATCGGGTGTATGTTATATTTCATTTAGATACTAACTGATTTCTATTCGGGTTAACACCTTCACCTTGTTAATTCGATTTACGCAAATCATCATTCACACTTATTATTTATACCGTAGATAGTTCTGATAAATAATTGGTGATAATTAAATTTACATCTTATTGTACTTAATCAAGGTTTAAAAAAAAGTGGTAGCTAAGCAGAATCACACTTGAGGTCATTGCAAATGAGTAAAGCTGGGGAATGTGGTTTATTTAAATATTTAATGTACGTGTGAATATGTAATGGTAAGTCATAGTTCTTGAAGAACTTTCTTATGGAGATTAAACGATTATGGAATTTTTCAGGGAGGTAATGAGTGGGTATGTGATGATCATAATAAATAAAAATGAAAGCATATTGGAATTTAAGCGTAATTAGAAAATGCTGATCATTTGAATGAGCGATGAGGATTGATAGTCTGACCTATAAAACCAAGAAGAATTTATAAGCATGCATTGTTGAGAAACTCGAGTAGCATATTTACGACTGAAGAACTTCTGGAACTCAAACAACCGTCAACCAGCACCAAATTCAGAATTCTCAATACAAATGTCAAGACAGTTCTCCTGTTTACGGCGGAAACCTGGAGAACTACCACAACCATCATACAGAAGATACAAGTGTTTATTAACAGTTGTCTAGGCAAAATACTTTGGATCCGTTGGCCAGACTCTTTCAGCAACTACCTAATATGGGAGAGAGCAAAGCAGATCGCAGTGGAGGAAGAAATCAGGAGGAAGCGCTGGAAGTGGATAGGACACACATTGAGGAAAGCACCCAACTGCGTCACAAGATAAGCCCTCACTTGGAATCCTGAAGGCCAAAGGATGATAAGAAGACCAAAGACCACATTACGTCGAGAAATGGAGACCGACATGAGAAGAATGGACAGAAGTGGGAAGGAAGTCCGAGGACAGAGTTGGTTGGAAAATGCTGGTCGGTGGCCTATGCTCAATTGAGAGTAACAGGCGTTAGTAAGTAATTGTTGAGAAGTTAATTGTCAGATCAACAGAACTACATAATTATCTGTGTTCTTCTGACTATTATGATTTAATGAAACACGGGAATGATCAGTTCAATATTTAAATTATCCAATGAAGTAGTTTATATGTCTCATGGTTAATGGTTTGCATGTTCAGAAATAATTCCAACTATTGATCAATATTCATTATGTAGTTAACTTGAATTTCATTGAGTATTGAAGCTACATTAGGTAGTACAATTATTATTCGGGGTTGAAAATAAATACGTGTTTATACTAGAATTGAAGTATCTAGTATATTACTTGGACATATTATATTTCAGGTAATCTTAGGAGTTGAAATTCAAACAATTTCATTATTTCGTTCAGCATTGTTATCTGAAATTCTTTAGGGTAATAAACAAAATTAAAATTTCAATAGTTGAGATCATGAGTCAATTGAAGCTAGACCACCATGGGATACCTGGGAGCACTGAAGTGCCATTTTGTTCTATTGTGGGACTTCTCAGCAGTGCGCGTTCCTGGAGTTCCCGTGAGAAGCAGTGACCAGTGGAGCTCAACCGGATCGGTCGTGAGATAGTAACTCACTGAAGACAATAGTGAATGTGTCGCTCAATTTCGTGGATTAGTTGAAGTTAGACATTAACACCATTGGATGCCGGCTCAATGGTCTAGAGGTTAGGCATCCATGCGCGAGACCGATAGGTTCTGGGTTACAGTGTCGCGAGGCGAGATTGTGAGTGTGCACCTCTGAGGAGTCCCATGCTAGGACAAAACTATCTTGGAGTGCTTCCAGGTTTTCCATGGTGGTCTGACTTCAATCGACTCATAATCTCAACCATTAAAGCTAGAATTATCAAAGAATATATAATCTTTAATATTTAGATCTATATTGAAAACGTATTCAGATGTCATTTTTTTTAATTGGAAAAGTATGAGTCGATAAAATGTGAACAATGTGTAAAAGAATGTATGTATACTTATATGTTATTAGTAGTCAAAATTTGGAGAATAAATACAATCTCCGTCGGCCATCAAAGATATTGTATTATAACAATGCAGAAATATTCTACCACTGTCAGTGTTATTTTCATTGAATATTTATTCTAAAATATTACTGAAATGTTTATTTCCATTTCAGGCAGCAAAACGTGCAGGTAAAGATGTGAATGTTAAAGCCGTAATGGATACGTGGATGAAACAGATGAATTACCCATTAGTAATCATTCAAAGAAATGCTGATGGCCAATTTCAATTTGTACAAAAACATTACTTAGAGCCACAGGATGCTAAATCGCCAAAAAATCCTTCACCATACAAGTAGGTTGAATAATATCATGTATTCTAACTATTGTTTTACCACTAAAGAATATTTATGTCTTTAAGGAGTAAAAGTAGTGGGAAGACTTATTCCTTTTAACCCTATTTGAACAATTCTGTTATATTTTACCCGCCAGTGAATCATTATCCAGAATTTTTTTTAAAACAATCAATAACCCAATGGACAGTATTCGACTTTGTTAAACGAGTGTTTTACAGATTGATTAGTGTTTGAATGCTGTTATTCCTGTACAGCTACCCCTAGTCACACTAGTCACTAGTCACACTGGCCACCTTAATATTATTTTATGAGATGATTGATTAATAAGTCTTGTTGCCAGGCAAAACATTGCTAAACAACACGACTCGATGAAATAGAACAAACCAAATTTCATAAGTCTGCATTTATCAATATTTACTGCTATATTCGTTTATCTTAAGATACTTTGTAAAGGTTTTTTCTTCTCCGAATCAGATTAGTTTGTATTCACAGAAACAATCATTTGTGATTCATTAGTTGCTTAGTTCGTTTATCTAAATTATGATTTATACTATTAGTCATTTTTATTATGTAGATTATGTTTATTAAATCATTAGTTATGTTAACCACAATGCATTTTCTTAGTATTACAAGTGTTATAATGAGTAATAAATCCCCAGTTTTCTATTTCAACCGATAGCAAACGATTAGAATGTAATTGTATGTTTCCAAGTGTTACCCAATTTACGCAGACTTGTTATTACATCAATAACTATAATAGTAATAATGATAATAATAATAGTGAAACACAAAGTTGTTTTAAATGTAATGTTTTTACTAGTATTAAGTTGGGAGAGCAGTATTTCTAATGTTAGTGTTCACTATCTTTCTCTAATATATTAACTATTAACTTGGAGTTTTCAGATATGTCATGTGTTACCAACCATTCTTTACTACTATTAATCAATCCAACATTTAAAAACTAAGTAAAGTTTTATTACACATTGAAAAACGTCAACGTAATTTTGTATTGAGCATTACTTGTTCTATTGAACATATATCCCTAATACATACATTGTTTATTCTGAAATTTGACAAAACCAATAGCATTCAGTAGAAAATAGTTTCAGCTTATTCATTCGCTTAATCCATATTTAGGCCTACTAAAAGCAATGTTAAAAGTGTTTTAGAGGAAGAAGTCGGATTAATAGACTTTCAGCCTGTTAGATCCGTTTAGCTGATTAAGGTATTAAATGACTGTTCAGTATCATTAATGTTTGTTTACACACGTACTAAATAAATGCGGATATCAAGAGGTTCTACTGGAAACGTTTCTTTAAATGAAATAGTTATGAATATTAGAAACAACACTTAACATATTTTCTGAATACAATTAACAATCAACTGTTTTTATACATAAATCTATATTCTTGAACCTAGAAAGTCATTCAAACTGCATAATATATTTTCAATAATATTATAAGCGAAATAGATGGTATCTATCTAAATTGAACATGTAAATTAAAACATTATTTTCTAAGGAAGGATAGCCTGCAGTGTGGTTTAAAATGATGTTAGGAACTTGAAGATTTGGTATTATAATATTTGTCTGAACATGTGACATAAGACGCAAAACAGTACTTTAAGTTTATATGTTTTTATATATTGCTGAACATAAGTACATTCATAGAGAACTCATATGTTGTATATGATTAAGAAGTGTTAAATTTTAATTGTTCACAGACATCTGATATCTCTGTAGTAGTTTCAGTAAGTGAATGGTATTTTTCAACTCTGATAATCGTATCAGGTGTACAGGAGACCCTTTAATAGTAGACTAATTAAATTTGTTTAAAATTACATATGGTTTTATTGCACAATAAGTAGTAACACTTCTAAATATCACAAGAACACAGGGATCGTTTGTTTTATGTTTACTTTGATATAATTAATGAATCTACTCATGTATAGAAAACTATGAACAAAGCTTTCCTAATTCAAACAAGCAATACATGTTACCTATCTAAATAAATGAAGTACAATAATATGTCATATGATTGTGTTGTAAACTAGTTTTATTGCATTTCTTCATTAGAATGATTTAAAAGTTTTAAATCATTTCTTATACTGTTCTAATTTAAATTATATTGGATGTTTAGAATCGATGGATTATGGCTAGAATTGAAATCTAGCATGCAACCTTCGTCCTATTTGGGATTCGTCAGCTAGATTCCATTTCTAGCCTAATCTGTTTATTTTAAATAACTTTTGACATAATGGCTATATCAACGAAACTTTTTACACGATGCACATATGTTAGCAAAGATGAATAAGAATTTATAGTCGGGATAATTCAAACCTTTACTAATGATATATGGATAGTATACGTATGTACGTACACGAGTATCATGAAATAAATTACACGTAATGATCTAAAGACTATCGAATGCCTGATACGAAGTCTGAAGTCATGTTTATAGTCAATATACTTTAATATTCAGTACTATTAACCTGATTTAATAGCCTGCAAGTGATTAATTGAGTAATTTTTGGAGTAAAACTTATCATGAATACAAAACATTTTTATCGTTTACTTTAGTGGTTTTGTAGTGATCAAAGGCCCAGGTGAGAAAGATCAATTTATGATTCAATAGAAAATTACAAAATATCTTGGTAAAATATGAAAATCATGCATCAACTACATGATTTACACATCTTCCTTCAGTTGTCCTTTACATGCTTTATGAATATTTCAATTCTGTTGTTATTATAATAACTTTCTTTTTCCTCTTCTGTTTTCTTCAAATGAATCTCCCCAGTGTTCTGCTAGCATGCATTCCACTTCCGATTGGTGCTACGTGCTACTTATATACATAAATAGTATACACCACAGTTTAATCCATCTATCTATACAGCTATTAAGCACTCATAGTAATGATTTAGATAAAAAGTACTTATGTAAAATTAAGTTAAATTAATTGATCACTTTACTTTTAGCTTTACTTGGAAATACCATTGACTTATGGATCAGCAAAGACTATTAACTGGGATGAAACAGATGTCATTTGGATGATGAACAGCAAGTCATTGTTTTCTTTACCTCGTTTTTGTATATATTTACTTATTATAAGTACCAAGTGATAATTGTACTGTAGTAATATATACTAATGAATTAAATATGGGTAGGTGGAATAACCTAGGAAGTGAAGTATTGTAAATTAGATGATTGGAAATATCAATCATAGTAATATAATGAATGTTTCTAGAATCTTGATCATGAATCATAACTATGAAAAATAGTTAGTTCACGGAAGCTATGTACATAAGTGGTCAAATTGACACTGAATATTAAATTAATTTAAGCCATAAATGAACGTTAAGTTGATTTAGTTAATATCATGTAATACAAAGTTATTTTTTATAACGCTTATTTGACTATAGTAGAATTGTAAATCAAATAATGTTTGTAGTATCCCAATGAGTAGAACTAAAATAGATTTTTCGACGTTTCATGACATAGTGTAAGTCACTTCTTCAGAGAATAAATAAATAGTAAAATTGTATCACTTGTAAACCAGTTAAATATATTGTTAATGTGAGTGATGTTCCCAATTTCTTTTTAACATAAAGAAAGTATTTACTCAAACCAATCAATAGTGGTGACTAAGTAAGATGTCTTAACTAGATATTATGATTGAACTACTTCAGTTAAAAGATTTTTTGAGTATAGTAGCAGCTTTTTATGTCCAGTAAGATAAGTGATTTTTCTTTGCTTTATTCAGGAATTAATAATCTAAATCTTTATATTGGAGACATAGACATTCGATGAAATATAAATTTTTATTATATATTTTACATATACTGCCATTATAGATTCTATTGTAATATGGGGATTAGATATTGAAAATCGAATTTTGGGTAAATTTTTGTAATGAGCGAACACTATTGGTTGGAAACACAATTGTATGAACGAAGAATATTCTTTTCAATAATTTCTCATCAGGTTCTACAATTATGAATCCAAATTAATAGTCCATAAAATTGGCCAAGTTTAGGGCAGTGTGCATCATTTAAAATTGTAACATGTGAAACAAGAATTGTTTGTCATATAAAATCAAATCAAATCGTTAATGTTGGGGATGTTTAATATAAAGTGTTAACTTGAATCAGTTTATAAGCGAAATGAAGTTATGGGATAAATGATTAGAATAAATATGATCAACATGAGGTGAGAGAGAAAATAATGGAATAAGAATCAGAAATTGCGTAATATGTAGATAGGGGTGGATGCTGGATATATATCTCAAAAAGGTTATCAGGTGTAATAATAATAATCACAATGATAAAGATAATAATAATAAGATAAGTTTGGGACATAAAAGTGAACATTAATCAAATTACGTCACTATATTATAAAATTGATTATCAACTAGTTGTTAAACAAGTATAATCCAGTGAAATAAATTTGGAAAGAGGAAAGAGAGACGAGGATTCAGGAGATAAGAATTCGGGAGAACACAAATAGTGGATGCACCTGCGCCATTGCTAACGATTTTGAGCCACGTCATTCAGGGTCTGTGACCATCGGTTGCTATCGTCTCGTGGACCCCAACTATGTAGTCAACACCTACCAATATGGCTCAGTACACTTGTCAGTGGCTTCATGGATTTATGCCATGTTTTGGTCCTGCCTCCCCTAGCTTTCTTCCAACTTACTCCTATACCATAAAACATCGCACGTCGGAGCAGTCGGTGGTTGGGCTTACGTCACACATGTCCCAGCCATCTCAACTGATAAAGTCTCACTACCTCGTCAATTGATTTGCCATCCTTACCTAGTACCTGTTTCCTAACAACTGCATTACTTACTCGGTGGTCCCAGGATATACGAGCAATGTTTCGAAAACACCTATGATCGAATACTAGTAACCTACGAATATCCTCTACTCTTACCGGCCATGTTTCACAACCATAAAGTAGGATGGAACGAACTGCTGTGCAGTAAACTCGTTCCTTGTTTGGTAGACGGATATCTCGCCTACGCCATAAATGACGCAAGTTGGTAAAAGCTAGTCGAGCCTTCTGTATCCGTGCTGAGATTTTGTCACACACCAGACCACAAAGACTGATAAAACTCCCAAGTTAAGTGAAGCAGTCGACACGCTCAACTACTTCTCTCCCTATCATTATTTCAAGTGCCGATGCAACCCAATCCTGAAGCAGCATTTTGCATTTCGAATGGGAGAATCGCATTCCGAACATGCTTGCATTTTTGCTTACGGTGGTCAGAAGAGTCTGAATTTTGTCAGCATGTTCGCAAAATACCATGGAACCCAGGACCTTAAGGTTTCACAACATGGGCATTTGCTTAGTGAAATTCATCGAATTTAATAGTGAAACATGTATATCTCATGCAGTTGAATAGCAGGCATATAGTATTTTTGATTGGTTGAAAGTGGAAATGTGACTGATGGATTTCACCTCAATGGTCTACGGATTTCTTAATGAGGCTGAGATTTAAAAGTTCTCGGCTTTCCATCATATACTGTGATGGGCACTAAGTGCTGAGAAAATTGGGACTAGGATAAAATATCCATGAAGTCCTCTGTTGTTTGAAATGGCTCTCAGATTATGTTGATTTATTTTAGTATATATAATTGAACGTTAAACCTTCCTAGACTTGGATCATGTTAAATTATTTATTTGGTTTTCCATACACTGATGATAATACATTAACCTCTTTTCCTTCTTATGCGATGATGTTCACTTAGGAACATATACATTCAGCAATTTCATAGCATTTCCACAAATATTTACTTTAATTTCAACAGAGACAATGACCCAAACATTAGATGTTGCAGAAAATTCATGGTATTTATTCAACATTAAACAAGCTGGATTTTATCGTGTTCATTATGCCGACAATAACTGGGAACTATTGACAGAACAGTTGTATAAAGATCACCGTGTAAGTAGTAACCGTTATTTGAAAAATTCTTAAGATTAATCACCTTCAAAGTCTGTATAAAGATAATTACTTTGATAAACTAGCGTATGATTGTGAAGTATCTGTTAACAGTTTATCCAATTGAACTCGTATAGACGTCACAATAATTATAATGATTTAGACTTAATAACATTTTATTTATAGCAAAGTAATATTTGAAATCCTTTTAGCCACATAGTGAACAATCATTTTTATTTTTATTGAGATCTTGAATCGACCAAAGTTAGACCATCATTGAAAACTTGAAAACACTGGACTACCGTTTCTTCCTAGTATTGGACTCCTTAGTAGTCCACATGTACGATCCCGCACGTGAGACCCGAACCCGTAATCTTCGTTCTCGAGGGAATCCTTGAACTCTAGACTACCAAGCTGACATCCAACGGTGTTAATATCTAACTTGAACCAATCCACAGTAACATCGACCGAATCATGGTCACAATAAAAATTTAACAATCTCCACAACTTTACTGATAATCACTTTGTATTTACTAAATAAAAAAATTAATTGATTCGATATTTTCTGTGATTAGGCTATTCCACTTCATTCACGAACACAAATTTTGGATGACTTATTCAACTTAGCAAAGTAAGTGTACTTACCTATATTGATTGTTTGACATAATATCATATGGTATGCATTCGATTGAAATTAAAATTTTATTACTTACATATTTAAATGAACAGCTTCTTGTTACACGATCTTTGAAGGTATAAATCTATAAAACGTTTTATTGTGTTGGCCAGGAACTTCATATTAAATACATTAAAAGTATAATTGAATTGAATATATGCGTGGATAAGTTAAATGGTTTCCGAATTCAAAAGATGTGAAATATAAATAACAGATAATACTAACACAAGGAATGTTTGAGAATATATTTTCAGCAACCTTCTCTGTAACCAAATATTGTATTGCATTTGTCGTTATTAACCTAACAATAAGTTTCAACTGAATTAATATGATACATTGAAAACAATAGATATCTACCACGAATCCCTACAAGATCACTTTCCATAATAATATTTCAGAGAAATTCTATAAGGTGATGATTCAAACAATATGATCATGATACAAAAATGGAAAAAGTCTATCGGAGCTGTTTTGATAATAACAATAATTGTATAATGTTAAATTAAAAGTTTTCATCAGAAGGAACAGCTAGGATTAATATAAAATAATGAGTTCGTATCACTCAAGTGAACCAAAGAGTTTAGACTAGGGATACTTTTACGGTGAGAAAAGTACCTAAAAAATAAGAGGTGTGAAAGTGTGACTGTTTTCGGACTTACAAGGAAGATTTCTTCGAGTTTATTCTCATCTTCTTCAAATACTGTTGCATATAAAAGGCTTTATCGTCTCTTCTTAGATAAACTATTAGTAACTTGATTTTAAATGCATAATGCTTTATGATGTTTACTGTTTAATGAACGAGAAGTGATGAAGGCTATATTTGTTGAACTATTATGAGTATAATGATAACAAGGTTAAGTAAATTTACTAAATTCTATTTGTGCATTGTTGACCGACTTGCACATCATTTATAAATGTCCACTGACCGTTTGTGTTTCCAATATAGTGACCGAAAACAATTCTTTTGTTTATTTATCACTATCGTGCAATTTATCCACTGTGAATCAGATTGTTGCTACCTTGTACAACCTTGTTACAAACCACAATTTTCATCATAAAACTAACAGCTAACACTTATCAACGTTGGATGGTTCTTCCGATTCAATAATGTAAAAATACTTTTTAATGTTTTAAAATGAAGATTTTATATTGTTAACAACTTCTGTAAAAGTTAGAAGTTCATTAACAGTTCTGTTGAAACTGTTTTTGTTTTGTTAAAGTTACTTATGGTTCAGTATGATACCTGTTAAATTACTTCAATAATAAATCAAACTAACCAGGTTATAGTCGTATATATGGAGTAAACTTGTGTTTATTTTTCTTGGTAAGCGGTAAATAGAAAACAATAATTTCATAACAAAAATGTAACGACTACTTTCAATCAGAATTAATCGTTAATAAAATAGAAACCAATGGAAATTCGTTGAAACCATCCGGTTAGTAATTAAAATCCACATGTGAACAAAATTTACTTCTATACATGTTAAATTGTATGGCATAATTAAACTCTATTGAGTTGACCTAAACCGGAAAACTAGTTAGAATTAATTAATTGATCGACAAGAATATAATTAGTGGTTACAAGAGTTTTCTACTGTAGCTTTGATTGATGAATGACCTAACAAAGATTTATATTACCTATTTCGTTTGCAAGTTATCATCAGTACAAAATTATACTTTAATTATGTGAATTTACCATGTATACGATTTTTCTAAAATCTACCTTTTCTCATTATTAAATATTTAAAGTCGTGCTACTGTTTCATACGACGTCTACTTAAATCTGACAAAATATTTGAAAAAAGAAGATCAGTATGTTGTATGGGAAACGACTCGACGAGCACTATCTTATTTAGACCGTATGCTTGCCATGGACGAGAGTTATGGAGCTTTTCAAGCATATTTGCGTACGCTTGTAGATGATCCTATTAAATCAGTCGACTGGACAACAATGAAAGAAGATAAACATCATATGAAGCAGTAGGTTACGTAAATGTTTTTAAACTGTGTTCTGTATCCATTTCATTAGATGATAACCAGCAAGAGTCTATGAAAATATGTTGCCTAGTGCAAACGAATATTATTTATTCCGATTTAGTGGAGTATGTTGGATACAGAATCCATAGAATGAGAGAAGCTGGTGAGACAAGATTTTATGGACAGCCTTGTAACGACTCTAAAATGACCTTGGAATGTCTACTTACTTACTTGGGTTAAATAAGTCTTATACATTAGTGTGAGGAATTAGGATTAGGATTTACATTTAGATGTTCTCGTTAGGAATTCGACTTAATCTTTTCATCACTAACCGACATGAGCTATAATACCAAACTCGTACAAAGCCAAATGAGCGAATGAACTTCGCGCCAAAATCTCACATATGTTATCTTAAATCTGGTTCATCCATCTATTATAGTCTCGCCGGACAAATAACCATGTTATCACTATTATCATATTAAACATATTCGTTCACTGTTCATAATTCTGACATGGAGTTACCTTCAATAACGTACGGGGTGTTTTTATATCGATATGTAATCATATTTATACTTGACTGTATACTTTCCCATTTGTATTTAAACACTATTCTGTGTGATGATACTGGTTTTATGATTTGATTCGTCTCATGAACAAAACAATGTAAGTTTACTTATTTGTCTCTCAATGAATGAAGTATTTCTTTAGGGCTAAATATCTTAGGATATATTTGGAAAAGAGGATGTTAAAGAAACTTGTCAGGTTTGCAATCTTAGCTTGCTCATTATCAATTGTACAAGCCTGACCCAATAAAAATGGTTGAGATAAAATATTCAGCTCATTCTGAAGGTAGACAGCCTATATTGTAAAATTAATTCTATGGCAATCTCGTACAAGCTTTTCAAGGAAATATAATCTAACATCAAAATTATCGAACATGGTCATACCAGTTGTACATTTGGTTCTGTGATTAACTGTATACTAATGAGGTCATCCGATCAACGTTATACAACCTTATGAGTAGGTATTCGCGTTAGTGTGTAAGAGACATGTGATGTGAGATGAAAAGTGTGTCAAGATAACACATTGTGTGTATTCGTAAGTGGTGTGAGAAGAAATTTCACTCAATATTTACCGCCTCTGATCGGTGAAATTTGAGAAAACATACAATTTTCCTATATTATATGAATCCAATATGTTACATCATTCATAAAATGAAGATAAATAAACAAAATAAAGGGATGAGTGTTTATGTTAGTTTTATTATTCCAGTTAATTGTTTATTATATTCAGATTAGACAACTGATTAGAACAATTGAGTGTAATTATTGTTGAAACTTCATTTATTTCATCGGTTGTGCTTGTTTTTTATTTAAGTATGTTGCGCCTGACATTAACTCGTCTAGCATGTCAAGCTGAACATCATTCATGCGTTAAAATGGCTACAGAATATTACAGAAATTGGATGCTTAATCCTTCACAAAATTTGTAAGTTACCTGTTGAACTGTTATGATTTTGAAATAATTACTAAGTGAAATTCTTAGACATGTCCTGCTTTGGATCTATTAAATGCAAGGTATTGGTGACCAACAAGTTGTATATCATTCACTTGTATTGACTGGTCCATATCTATGGAATTTGTATATCAGTTGTTAACTTGTGGATTGCTTCAAATAACTTAATTATTTTGTTTAGTTTTATTTCCGCGTTGAACGAATAAAGTTCTTTTTATAATAAAATTTGTGATATTGTTTACTCTACATGTAGTACTATCCATTATCCTCTAATTTTTCATCCGTTTTATGTTTAAGGATCCCACCAAGTTTGAGGCCAGCTGTTTATTGCACAGCAATTAGAATCGGTGGACAAAAAGAATGGGAGTTCCTAAAACAACGTTTATTAGAAGTGGATATCAAAGAGGATGAGAAAAATAGTATTTTACAAGCGTTGTCTTGTTCTCGTGATATGTGGATAGTAAGACTGTGAGTTATATTACATTTTAGTAATCGCTGTTTTTTTCAGGTGCTTTGATAGTTCGTAGGAAGGCGCTTTCATTATATGAGGTTTAGTGTTTTATGAGTAATCAATTGATTAATGTTAGCTTTCGGTCATCAGACCACTCAGTCAGCATTTATTAATGCAGCTAACGTGTTTGTTTATAATATTAAAAGATATATATGTCACCGATATGGGGTAATATGAGTTAAAATTACATGTAATGAGGCAAACTAATATTTAAAAAATGTTTAATATATGATCATATTGAAAAACCAACGCTGACTTGATATTGAACGTTTGATAAGTCTCAATAAAACGGTTCCCAGTGGAGGAAGATATTTGTCACTTCTGTGACCTTGTCTGATGCTTGGGATTCATTCGATTTCATAGCCAATTAGTTGTATACATCAACCCTTACCAGCAGATCGAGATTATTTCTCGTATTTATGTGTTTCAGCACATACATGTAAACTGATAGATGGAATGAGTTGTGGTACAATTAGTCACATGCTTTTTGAGTATTTTATGAAACATAGACCTAGAACTTTTGATGTTGATGAGTCCTACCATAAGACCATATGAGTTACCTCTTAATGGTGTAGTAATATAGACTCGCTTCTTGGATGCCGAGAACTTAGTAGCTCTTATTACATCTTTGCTCTACCAACGCTTTATAAACTCAAGTTAGTAACTCTCATTCATCAGTGCTTCAGTAAAGACATTTACTTGTCTCTCTCAACTGCATCGCTAGTGGAAATTCGATAGATCCTTCTGAATAAGCTCCTTCTTAATCCACATTTGTACTGGATTGAACATTGATTATAAAATGTTAGATTCCATATACAGTTAATACAATTTCATGATACACGTAAAACTAAATAAATGTAACTGCAGATTTAGATCGTTTGTCCCATAGAGAATAACTCAGATGTGGTTTCGCAACATTCTACTGAGAAGCTGTACTAGGTGGATTTCAGTCACATCACGAGTTAAGCAAATATTACCAATGAAATTGGATGATTTCCAGCAAAATATCGAAAATGAAGTGAAATTAATTTACAGACCATAACTTCAGACTCAGTAGTCTGAAAGTATAGTGTTTACCAAGACATCTAAAACATTTGTGTTAGATATTATCCAGAGTTGTTCCTGTGTAGTTCTGAATAATCCCAAACAAGCAAGAAGCAAGTGTTTAATGCCTTCATTATTTTGATAGTCATCGTCTAGACCGTGAAAAGTCTAATTCCTGTTAGTCGAATGTTTTCAAAGTCCAAGTAATCTATAGCTAATACATCGTTATTTCTCAAGAGAAAATGTATGGGTAAACCTAGCTTAAGATGATTGGTCAACCTTATTATCTCAGAAATAGAAAATAATTACGGCAAATTCAGATTTACTCATTTAGAAATTTTCAATGCAAGACAAATCAAAATGTCATTAACATTTTCAATTGTTTTCAGAGAGAAAAACGCAACTCGCCCAACTGTTAAAGCGTAAGTTTCATTGCTTACCTCAGTTACAGAATGCTTTCTTATTGCGTTATACTTCGCATGTCCACAATTTTCATTCAGTTATTACCTTTGTATTCAGTTGACTACTTCCAAATTGTTAAGTAGTATATTCAATAGTTTTTCATTCGTCACTATTGGCTCAGATTTCCAAAGCATCCATTATTTCACATTACATATTGAATAATCCTACTTGACCACTTTTTCTACGTGAAATTAATCTGATAATTCTCTACATCACATTTAAACTATGATGGTTGTTAATGTTTAAAGATGATTACCAATGTAATTTTCCTAGATACATTTGTCGGTAATCGGATGTTGAAGATAGGAGACGTTGGTTGTTCTTAGTTTCTGAAATAACCAGAAGAATTTGCATAATTGAAAATTTTAACTGGCAATCGGTAACTTCTTCATTTTCTCTAGAGGACATTTGTTTCAATTTTCGAATCGATTAAGTTTGAGTTTTATATTTGTGAAGACAAAGGGTTTTGTAGAGAAACATTTAGATGAATGAATTGTATGCATCAATCTATTAAATAAATAAAAAGTTTGACCTCATTCCGATTTCAATAACGGAATCGAAATTTACATCGCTATTTATTGAAGAGTGGTAACATATTTCAGTAAATGATGTTTACGTAGTGTAAAAGTGTTAGTGACTAAATATTTCTATTCTGTGTTTCACTTATGTTTTACTATATTTATGTTTTTGTGATCATCGATTTAGTAAAAGTTTTACTGCAGTGTCACAAAATGTATCGCAGCATCTCGTCTCATTTGACTGAACGAGGCACGGTCAATAAATTCTCTATTCGCCCACTATATTGCATTGTGACATAAAATAAGATTGGTTCTTTTAAAGTTAGTATTTGATTCAGCCCAAACATAATTGAGATGCTTGCGAAGATGTGTGACGAAACTCAATCAATATTATCAGACACGATGCATATATTCATAATTTAATATCATAGTGGTAATTTATACCAGACGCATAATTCAAACATCAACTACAGTAAACGCATAATTATATCTTTTTCTTACCATGTGGCCACGTAACAGCATTTGATCTATCTGAACGTCTACTAACATCTGATTGGTTAGGTCAACCTAACATACCGTCTCTACCTTCAGAAAAGAGAGATTTTCGTTCATGTCAGTTAAGATGTGGAGACATAATCAGATTGTCATGTCGTCATGTGTTGACATTTCGATTTTTCTAAGCATAATGTTAAATTTGCTAGCTGTTCTACTTCACATTTTTTCCATACTAAACAATAAGCATTAATACCTTAGAATTATGTGGAGTCGGCACACCCCACATCTTCTATGTTGTCTGAAATGTTTAAAATAATGCTCAGCATTTTCATTACTTTCATTTGAGTGATAAATATTGATTTTTAAGACAGACTCCTATCTCTCCATTAGACGAAACAGACTAGAGGTTGACTTCCTAACAATTTTTACAAAATCACATTCGATTTCTAGTTACTGACAATGCACTAAGAGGGGTCTAACTGTTTGTGGAATAAAAACTTAAATTTAATTACACGTAATATAGATAGTCAATAAAATTAAGACTAGTTTGTACTACTCCATCTTATTTAGCGCTTCATCTGATGATCTCAATGACATTTGCAAGTATCACCAAACCGCAAACTCTGGGCGTAATAATGAGTAAGTAATACAATTGGTTTGCACAAAAACACTTAAAATTATTCCTTCCATCAACATTTGTTTCATCTTTGGACTGTCCAGTTTACCTTCGTAGATAATATCACATTAAAATTAATGATTACATTGGGTCTAATGAGAATTTGGCAATAAATCTTATTCGTTACATTAGAATCGTAATGAGAAAGTAATTAACATTATATCCATTGCATTACCAATAAAAGTTATTGATTTGCAATAATCGAATCTCCAGTTCCTTCATATCGGCAATCACTTTCATACATGTACGGAGTTTACACGCTGAATCAAGTATAGATAAACACAACATAGGTAACTCAAATAGATGTTTCTGTACACAGTAAACTAAAAGTACCTAATAAAGTTAAAAATAGAAGAGTGGAAAGTGACGTTTTGCTTAGTGAATTTAATCGTGGAATTCATAATATATTTTCAATGTCAACGAAGAACTAATGCTCAATCTGAAAGGCATATAGGCATTTGGATTTTGCTGACACATTTCGAATCCATAGGGTGTATAATAAGTATTTATGATTAGCATAGATCATGGTCTATTTGGAACAGAAGGAAACCTAAGTAGTGACTGCATTTTGTCAGTAATATAGGGAACAAGGTTTGCCATATTCTCGAATTTCCATCATCCAAATACTGTTTTTCTGTCACACTATTTCATATATCTTGGTAGGTAGTATTGGTTCTACAATACAAATATATTAGGTAGAATAACTTTGATATATATTTCGGAGTTCGTCCGCTTTTACCAGCAAGCAAAGTTTGGATATGATATATATATGTATATACTCGAGCAAACCAATTCTTTCAGTTCCGCATTGTTCAAGTAGTTTATGTATGATTTCAATTCAGCAATTACTTGCTTACTATCGCTTGTTATCTCTCGTTGAAGAGCATAGGATACTCACCAGGATTCTACATACAACTGTTACCTTGGTCATCCTTTCCAATTGTTCACAATTGCTATTCATTCTTTTGATGTCTGCCACATCTTCGTTTAGCAATAATACAGTTAAACGTACTTGTTTATATTTAATTAAATTATTATGTTTTTGTGATTATGAATATACTTCAGCCTCATTCACAGTTTACATCAAACAACGTGTACAGTTACTGAACTAAAAGTTGTTGAGTTACTTGTTTGAAAATTTCATTATGAACAACTGACTATTTACCATGTAGCTGGAAAATACATTGACATGGTTTGTTTTGACATGAACGGAAGAAGAGTTTTATAGAGTTAGTAATACTTGTCATTTCACCACCTGTTAGTTCAAGAATGTTTTCCAGGTTGTATGGGGTTGTGATTCAGGAAAATTCATTTCTAGCATTCAATCATCTTTTTATGTTTTTGTTGGTAAAACAACATCCATTAATATAGGCAATTCAGTTTAGTCAACTCCTGTTCGAATTGTTGATTGTTTAATGAAATCCAAATTATTAAATACTTTAGGTTATAATTCATAAAACTAAACTATCAACGGGATATGATAGTGTTAGCAGAATGGATAGAACATCAGGTAAGTGATTCTGCAGTCAATGGAAAATGTATCTAGATATGAATTACGTGTATTTGTTCTATTTTACAGGTGTGTACTAACTGTAATTCTTAAAATACTATCCAAACGTCATTACACACTGAATAACATACCGGATCAAGAAGAAGTTAGTTCAATATTTTCTTAAATTCTTATTAATTTTATAAGTTTAGTCACTAAGTATATGATGTTGAATGTTTTGAAGTGAAGGTTGTTTTCCTGTATAACACTTAATCAATAGCTATCACTGTTGTATATTACCAAGTTGAACACATAGACCGGTATAATCTTGAACTAGTTTAAGCAGGTACATTACTATAGCGTACACTGCAAAAAATAGTAAAAGACAGTCAACACCGATAAACCTTCAAAAATCTGTTTAATTGAGAAATTGAAAATATTGACGTTGTTTCAGTGGTGCCAATAAACCCTTAACAATTGGCTTAAGTACTAATCACTAGACATTAAGATTTTAGTGCACTTTTGGAGACAATCACATCGTTCTATCTAAACAAAAGTTATTTCTAGATTGATGACATTTTTCGATTTATATATAGACGGAATATATTGGTGTTTTGGATGTCTTTACACAGGAATAAATTTATATTTATGACGTGAAAGTTGTGCAGGTTAGTCGGATGAGCTGAGTGATGTGATTTCGTTAAGGTTGATAATTTAGTAGTGTTTTCATTATGATTATGGACACGTCAGCCACATAAACTTTATTCGATGTGATAAGATATTACAAATCCAGGGAAGAAGTTTTGTAACCACATTTTCTGACGGTTTATTAGTTGGTGGAGTTATCATTTCAAAGATTCCACTCAAGATGTATGCTTCATATCTTGGACCAACAGCAATCCAATTCACAGATTGAGGTGTTTTCACCCCATCCACCCGAACTGATTACTACCATACAGGTCGACCTCATTTATTTGGTAGTTATGAAGTTTTTGTTTTTCGAATTAATGAACAAAATGGCTGGCTTTTAATTCACTAGGTACTTGCCATGCAAAATTCTGGACAAAAACTACTTGAAAATCATGTTCTGAAACGTGGATTAAATGATTTGTTTAAAAGGTCGAAGGAAAACATGAAATGGACAAAAACTCATCGTGATGTTATCAGTAATTGGTTAAATAAAAATGTTCCCAATACAATCACATTACTTTGAATGCATTTCTTTCAGACTAATCAACAATTTCACTATTAGACAGTTTTATTCTGTTGAATTAATTGATTACTGGTTTGTCGATTCACAGATCTATCAATCGATGTGTTTATCAATTCATCTGTACTTGTGTCTTTGTAACAAAATACTCATTTTTCTCGTTTCTATCTTATTCAATGTTGCGTATTCATATTTCGGTTTTCATGTGGTCTTATTATTAATATTATTATTATTTTGAATGTTCTAATATCCATTCGTCACTGAAACGTATATACATGTGTACAATGATTCGATCGTACATATATTCATCCTACTATTATTGGCAATACACATTTTTCTTTATTACAGATGGACGAGAATATGTTTTATAGTGCAAAGATGATATAAAAATGGATATACAAGCTCAGTTACTTTATGAATAATTGCTATTATTGTTCCTATTATCGTTATTAGTATTGTTATTATTATTATTATTGTTATATTAATACTACTATTAATTATGATAGCTATTAACCAGAATGCATGCTTATCTGTAAAGGTACATTTGTTTAATTTTTATGTTCTGATAAAATTTTGAAACGTCAATCTGGTGTGTAACTAGTACTTATACTCCATAAAAGTGATAAGATTGTTTGTCTTCAAGTGTTTGTTCATCAAGATTTTGAAACTTATATATACATTAAATAATGTAATTTACATCCTCTTATTTAGAGAAATCCTTTGGAGTTTTAGCGACAAATGTCCAAGAAATTTCAATTATGGCATATTCAACTGCGATTTGCTCTACCCAACAATCTGTGAATCCAACGTTCGTAGACTTTAATTTAATGTTTGTTCTTACTAACGTACTCTCTGTAGTATCGAAGCAGTTACTTCTGTGTCCGACTTCGATGCTTCAGCTGGTATACTTTCAGGTTCTATTAAGTTCACACTCTTGATCTGTCTGATGATCATCCTGATTTCTTCAATCGTTGGTGGAGTGACATCTATAGGAAGTTCTGTAGCTGGTGCTTCGATGTCTGGTGGATGCGATGGAGATGACTTATTCAGGATGTATTCAAATTGTTCCACACATCTGTTACTCTATACGTGAATCAAAGTGACCGTCCTGCCTTCTGTGTCCTTGCTTGGACTCCTCGGCTCTTTTATAGTCTATTCGTCACGTAACATAGCTGTTCCATATTTCCTTCACTTGCGGCTTTTTCCGCTGTTGTTGCTGTGTCCTCCACATATTTCTGCTTGTCAGATCTAGTGCTCCTCTTCACCTGCTTGTCAACTCGTGTGCACCAGCTTGTGCCTTGACCTTATCTGTTCTTGTTCGGCTGCTGTTAAATGCTGTCTTATTAGTCCTTTCTTGAATCTTGTCTAGCGTTTCGATAGAGATCCTGACACGTTGAAGTTAATGCTTGCTTGATCCCTTTCTAATTGTCCTCCATCGTAGTTTTTCTTCTTTCAGTGGATCCTTTTATGCCTAGAACCTGTTGTTTAGAGTTACCTTGAATTTGTTTGGCTTGTCAGAATGTCAATGAATGAGTGTTTTGAGCATTTATGATGCTGTTACGCAGCTCTACATTGCTTCATTTGCTGCAGTTTCACCTTGGCTATTACCACGTGTTGATTTGAGGCTGTCAGCTCTTCTCCTGATTCTTTTGCCTTCTATTGAGCTTGTGAAATGTTTACTGATAAAAATAAGGGCAAGCTGGGTGGACCAAACGTGATCCGGAGAGATCAATGTAGATATGTGAATGCGCGGGTGAGAGAATATTGTGTCGCCTCTAACCATTTGGTTGAATACGCATAAGATATTAAATCTTACAGTACTTTCGTTTATTTCTCTCTTAGCATTTCGTCCCTAGGTAACATAATACCCTGTGTTGACAAATACGACTTCGGCGTTAAGCAATACATTAAGACGGTCAGGTGTTTCCATATAAATAAACACTAACGTGGTTCGCACATCATTTTCTACAACCAACATGTTCACAGGGTTCTTGAGATTAGATAATTGTCAACCAACGACAATATTATCTACAAGTATCAAACAGTGGTTAGCACAGTTCTCTTTTATAGATATCTTGCTAACAAATAGCGAATGAGATCGCAGCATAAACGTGATCTCTTTAAAAGCGTCTAACAGTTCGGAACAATTTCACGCTTACAGACCGTGATCTAAACTTATAAGAATAAAGTCAACGAAATGAATCTTGTCTAGTGAACTGTTGACCTCTAAACAGTGTAAAGTTACATGACAATGGTCATATGCAATGTTTGACTTGATTGCTTGACCTCTATTGTCTCTTTTCAAAGCATTTGTGAATGCTGGTCATTGTTCTCCTAAACACTCTACATTTCTTTTTTCGGCTTATGACTGTTTTATGTCACGAGGACTATTAAGCCGATTTTGTGATTATTCGTCTATTTTCTTTGATTTTTCATCAAGTTTTGTTACTGTGAAAATGTCATTATGTGGTGTTTGATTGAACTAATGATACCTTTGTACTTGTTGAATGCTTGTTTTTGAATTCTATACACAGTAAATTTGTTTGTGGTGATCTAGTACTTCTTGATCGATCAGGTTATTACTGAAATTTCTAGTTCATACTATAATTCAAATACTCATAAACACTACATTGGTGTCGCGATGAAGCCTGCGATGTAACAGTTAGATATTCATTCAACTTCTGAAGCTTTTCAGGATTATTTGGAAAGATCAGGGTCAATCAAACTTGCGTTCGTTCAACAGTGATACCTATTCTCGTGCAAATATGAAAGGTGTTTCAACAAGGAACTACAAAGCAAGCCACAAAGGTGAGATCAAGTTTGGTAAATGTTTATCATGTGGAAAGTTTCATTCTCGTAATTCATGTGCAATTCGTAATGCTAAATGTTTTAAATGTGGTAAGATAGGACACATTCAGTCAGTATGCAAAGCTACTGTCCAGTTTACTTCAAGTAGTACTAAATTTTGTAATTCAAATCTCAATAATTCGGATGTTTCTAGCGGTCATTTATCTTTTTCTACCATTTTGAAAGGTAATGCCCATATTCAAAAGCGATTATATACATCGTTTGGTTCATTTAATGGCTTAATCGTGGACACAGGCAGTACAGAGTCCATTGTTTCAATCAAGAACTTGAAATCTTTAGATTCCAACGTTGTGACACGACCCACTGAAGTATCAATATTGAGGATTACTGAATACAGACTGCCCATACGAGGACGTTGTGAATCGCTAATAAGAGATGATAATTCTTCATAGTTAGCGAAACAGGACTGTCAATACTGGGCTTAAGGAATTTGAAAAGGCTTAAGCTGGAGTTGTCTTACCTAGTTTCTAGGGAAAATTCTAATGCTTCACTTAAAGATTTGATAGCTGTGTGCGCTAAGTGCAGTGGAAGTGTTTGTATGAATTCCGATTCAATGCTGAAATGATGGTGTGACGGAAAATGGTGGAGACTGCTGTTTGACTAAATGGTTCGAAAGGTGTGTAGAATTTCAGGAAACTGTAAAACTGAATTCATGGTCATTCCGACAATTTTACTATCGCTATGCGAAACACTTTACAACAGATCAAACTTCCAATAGACGGACGGCAGCCGGTTGAGCACATGTGGGATTCTTAATTTCTCCGTTTTTACTTGTTGGTTGATTGCTGTCATCTTTCACAGTTGAAATCTGAAGCTCTCATGAATGCTGTACGGTGTTGTGTATCCTATGTGTTTGAACTGGCCATGTCTGGAGATCATATACATGAAAACAACCAAACTATGTGGATTCCTATAAACCTCTGGATGGGTTGGTATTGGCGAATTTCAGACTACTCAAAACAGTCTATTCTGATTCACTTACGATTTGACATAACAGTGGTCACGTTCACTCTCTTCACAAAGGCTGCTGAGATAAAATTATTGATAAAATTAATTGTTCTTCTCAATTAGAGAAACGGCTACCAGTGTCAGTTATGATATTCGATTTATAGTTTTTAGTAGATATTTAGACAGAATACACTATGTCATTGTGTTTGTTTGTTAGGAATGTTGATACTAATAAAGAATCCATTACTTCGAACTCCAGTCTTGAAAACTTATTTGAAACTAGTAACCTAAGTAAGACACATATTTGTGCTGAATTTTTATGGAGAATAGATATTTTCTGTATGAAACTTAGGTTATTTTGAATGAAAACATACTCGGTCTTTAAGTGAATGTCAGTTCTATCTACAATTCAAAGTTATTGATCAATACATAATATGCCCGACATTAAACGATATGCAATGAACATCGAAAACATTTATAACCGATTATCGGTATCACTTTTCAGTATTTTATGGTGTTGAATTGTACTCCAAGTTATACCTGAGAGTGACTTCCGTAATATTTCATAGGTTGTTCAAAACTTGAGAACGATTGATTCGCGAGGAGCAGGCTGGTTTTCGTTCTCGTCGAGGATGCATTGATCAGGTGAATTCACGTTTGGTGAAAAGCAGAGCGACTTTTGCCAGTCTGAGCCATCTTTGATGCCTTTGTGGTGTTAGTCTGGCTGTAAAAGTATGGATCTACAACGCGTCGGTGAGGGCAGTTTCGCTCTATGCTTGTGAAACCTGACCTCTCCGAGGTCAGTATCTCTGATCATCGTTGTCTCCGAAAGATTGTTGACGTCCAGTGGCAACACCATGTTAGTAATGCAGAGGTTGGGCATCATGCGCTCGTGCATAGCGACGATAATTCAACTAGTGTCACTATCTTGAAACATCGACTTCGGGGGCTTGAACATGTTCTGCAAATGTCGTCCCAGAGAATTCCTCGTTGTGCATTATTCGCCGACGTTGGGACTGGTTGGAAAAAGGGAGGGCTGGTCAGTGTATAACATGGTGTCGTGGTATGGAAGAAAACTACAAAGGGTTGGCTTTTGTTGGTCCTTCAAGACTCCCTGGTTGGCGTGCTAGAGATGGCGCAACACAGTGACTAGAGACGTTATCATATATGGCTCAGGATAAAAGCCAGTGGTGATCCTGCTGTAACCTTTGTTTACTTCGTTCATAAAAAGTGGCCGTAACTCCTTTAACTGAAAGAATTCTTTCACTACCATACACTAATTTGTAGTCGTTGTTGTTTTTTATTCTTTTTATACGCACACTACATTCTTTATCTCTTCCCATTTTCATTGATACTGTGTGATGCATATGTGTCTGGTGCCTCTTGTACCAATATTTATGTGTTCAAATAAATAAATGGATAAATACTCATTAGTATTCAAAGATATAAGTCTATTTTTCATTCGTTCTAGTTGTACGTCGTTATTTTTAGTTTTTTTTTATTTACTGATACATCTATTGTCAGTACGATATTGAATTGACCATGTTGCGCGTGTCTTTGTTGGGAATAGGGCGATTTTAATGAGGCTATCACTCTAAACGTGAGTTTTGCAATTCAAGCCGATTGTTTATTTATTATGGAACCATTAATTATTTAAATATCTACATTTGCGAATAAACATTCAGAGGTGCTGGACCGCTTCCTTACTTTGCTTACCGCATCTGATTTATTCTAGTGTTTCCGGTAGTTTGTCAAACAGTGATAAAAGGACATATATTCTATCAGAAAGAAGTTCATGAGAATGTGGAATTTCAATCGAACGATCAACAGTTCAGTGTTGGACTACCAATGAAAAATTTGAATCACTGTACGATCGTTTCGTCCTAACATGCGTGATTTAATGTGTTAGATTTCCTCTGTTAGTCTGTGAGCAATGGAACGCATGTTTTCCGAGTGTGAGGTGGTTACCTATTCAAGACAATGGAGATGGTCGCCCAATATCGTGGACGGATTTAGGTTGTTCTAAAACACCGTTAGATTCTGTTCAATGATCTAGATGTTTGGCGCGCGTGCGCATGACTGAATTTCCTCAGTTTGACTCTCGTGGACAGGGTTGTGGATGTAAAATCCTGAAATGCCCATTCTACGAGAAAACGACAGTCCACTGATTTTATGTTTTCAATAGTGGTCTAACACTGATCGGTTCATGATTCCAATAGAATGAACATTTTATGATGATTGATAATTATTTTGCGTTTGTATTTAAATTCATAGTTAGGTCAGAACATACAAGATTTTCTCATATCCTGATGTTGTCCAGAATTCATCTATCCGTTAGCTGACTTAACGCAACATCAATGGAGTTATTTACTTGCACAAGAAAAACTAAATTCAGTGCATAATTCTCCTCTACGGTTCTTGATAATGCTTTGTTAATTCCGCCAAACGAACGAATAATACTGAATTCCTAGCCGCTTTTTCATATGTCTAGACTTATCTGGGTTTTGAACAAGAACATCAGAGAAAATATAAAGCTAGGATAGAATTTTTAGTTTAAGGATCATTTATGCTCAGAATACAATCTTTAACAGAAAATACGATCTTTTAGCGTGTTCGTTTGATGGTGAATCACTCATCATTCTCCTGAGCAACATGATCAACGCAGACTTCGGGTAGAAGTGTAGCATTCAGATTTCTTCACATATTGTTGACAGCTTGACATGTTGACACTGATCTTGAGTAGGCAATGTTGACCCACAACAGTTTATTTTCTGATTCTGTATTTTGGTTATTTATCCCATGTACGAGAATCATGATCTAATATCCTTAAACAATTTTCCAATCAGTTGATATATTGGCTAGATATTGATGTTTTTACTGATTACTAATTTACAAACATTTTACGAAAATTGCATTACATTCTTTGACTTCTCTCCATCCAGCATTCCTACATTTTCGAAAATTTCTGGACAGTTATCAGAACAAGAATCAGGCCAAGTAGAGAGACAATCGAAGTATGTGAATCACAATAGACTGTTTTGAGTAGTCTGAAATTCGCCAATACCAACCCATCCAGAGGTTTATAGGAATCCACATAGTTTGGTTGTTTTCATGTATATGATCTCCAGACATGGCCAGTTCAAACACATAGGATACACAACACCGTACAGCATTCATGAGAGCTTCAGATTTCAACTGTGAAAGATGACAGCAATCAACCAACAAGTAAAAACGGAGAAATTAAGAATCCCACATGTGCTCAACCGGCTGCCGTCCGTCTATTGGAAGTTTGATCTGTTGTAAAGTGTTTCGCATAGCGATAGTAAAATTGTCGGAATGACCATGAATTCAGTTTTACAGTTTCCTGAAATTCTACACACCTTTCGAACCATATAGTCAAACTGTGTTTAGAATTCGAAATCAAGCATGCAACTAGTACAAAGGAATCATCAGTTCATTCAGCTTAAATTGTAGTCAAGGTGTCTGCATTCAATTGTACACCTTCTTCTCAACTTCATCCTGTGTCTGTCGGACGGTGTATCGGATAAGGAGTCTGTGTTATCTAGAATATGCTCATTAGCATTAGAATTAACAATCGAAATTGGAACTGACTCACCTGGTTCCTGAAATTGTATTTGATCTACATGTCGACTGTGTGTACTTGAGTCATTTATATCTAGAATTCGCACCACCGATTTCCCGACATTCTTCGGAACAATCTCCGTAGATGGTCGAAGATCATTTCCCCGATAATTTGTAACTTCTGCGGACACCGAACATCTCATATTCGACCGAAGAATTCTTCCTTTTAATAGCTTCGCTGGAGTCTCCTTCGTCACCGAATATTTGGCATTTCTATAATGCAATAGAAAGGTATCTACTCTCCTCTTCAGCTCATTATACGTTGAGGCGGCAATAGAACCAATAGCATTTTTCAATGTCCTGAAAAGATTTTCTGCCTGACCATTAGAACAAGGATTTCTGGGAGCAGTAAACAGATAATTGCACCCTATTTCATTCAACCAGTTAGTGACTGCATCTGCAGCAAAATGAGAACCATTATCGATCTTTAACACCATAGGAACCCCTTCTCGACCAAACACCTTTCTGAATGCTTGCATCGTGAAATCAGATTTTGGTGATGTTGTGAAAAAAACTTCAAGCCACTTTGAAAAAGAATCAATAACCACCGGTGCATAGTATTTGCCAAGAAAAGGACCACAATAGTCTGCATTTTGACATTTTTCACAAGTGTTTGTCGTACGACATATATCTGTAGAACTATGGTCTACTATGATATTAGCACTGCTCTAATAATAGACCTAATCCTAAAATTGTAGATGTGTCATGATATAACTGCCTAATCTATAAGATCTTACGTGGAAGTCACACCATCGACTACACCAACTCACTATATCGTATCAATTACCAATACATGATGTAGAACAAGGTTAGGCTAGAGAAGGAACAATATATTTAATATGAATAGAAGGTATAGGGTAACATTTAGAGGGACCACGCCTGCATGGCCGAGTCACGCCATTCTATCAGCCCCAATTCATTCGATTCCTTATTCGCGCCTTCTCCATCGTAAGGCATTTCTCCACGTTAAATATTGAATGTCTATTTCCCGAGTAATCTCGTATTCAGCTTTGAGGATTGTGTAGTTATGGTCCAATGCCACTACATATCTGCATTTATCTCTGGCCCCCAACATGTGAGCCTTGACAAGGACTTCATTTTCTCAACACCTAAATGACCAATATGAAGATCTTCAAGGACAGATTTACGCAACGAAGGAGGAATAACAACACGATCATTCAAACACAGAATACCATCAGGAGTAGTGGATAGCTCATCCCGCTTTGAAAAATAGACAGGAAATCTACGTTTCAAATTAGCATTCCAGCCTTTCCGTATAGCGCTGAGTACACTTCCAAAATGTCCACGAGTTTCTCTAATGAGATCCGGACGTCTCACTGCTAAAGGTTGCACTAAAAAACAGGTCTATCTTGCAATGACTGTCGAGAAATGTAGTCAACGTGTTGAATTTGTTTGCCACTTCTCTTATGAACAAGCATTCAACAAGTACAAAGGTATCATTAGTTCAATCAAACACCACATAATGACATTTTCACAGTAACAAAACTTGATGAAAAATCAAAGAAAATAGACGAATAATCACAAAATCGGCTTAATAGTCCTCGTGACATAAAACAGTCATAAGCCGAAAAAAGAAATGTAGAGTGTTTAGGAGAACAATGACCAGCATTCACAAATGCTTTGAAAAGAGACAATAGAGGTCAAGCAATCAAGTCAAACATTGCATATGACCATTGTCATGTAACTTTACACTGTTTAGAGGTCAACAGTTCACTAGACAAGATTCATTTCGTTGACTTTATTCTTATAAGTTTAGATCACGGTCTGTAAGCGTGAAATTGTTCCGAACTGTTAGACGCTTTTAAAGAGATCACGTTTATGCTGCGATCTCATTCGCTATTTGTTAGCAAGATATCTATAAAAGAGAACTGTGCTAACCACTGTTTGATACTTGTAGATAATATTGTCGTTGGTTGACAATTATCTAATCTCAAGAACCCTGTGAACATGTTGGTTGTGGATAATGTCGATGGAAGACATTTTGATTCCACACATCACTGTCAAACTCTCCACACAATACATGCAGAAACGTTAGCGACCCCATCTTTAATGCGGTTAAAGAAATCATTCGTCATGTTGATCGTGTTAATCCTTTCGATTGTCTTAGTTGATGATGCTTCGGCGTTGAGCAGGTCTAATTTCTTTGAATTTGATTCAGCGTATACACGTATGTATATTTCAATTAATTTTTATTGTGTTTTTGACCTAATGACTGAAGATTTATTACCAGTGTTATTATGATTACGATGAAGCAGCTTGACCATTGAAACTACGTAAATATTTTATCGCGTGACTAGCAGTATTATAAATAGAGTGCTCTTTAATCATTCGCAGCCTCGTTGAATGGAGATCTGCGATCTAATCTTTTATCCAAGTGATTCACAAATCAACGATTCTTATTCTATGTCACGTACTCACTGAAGACAACGGAAGATCGTCGCCCAATATCGTGGATGCAACGAGTTGTGTCTAACGCACCGTTCGATCCCGGTCCCGTGGCCTAGAGATCATGCGTTCGAGCGCATGACTGGATTTCCTCAGTTCAATTCTCGTGGACAGGGTTGTGGATGTAAAATCCTGAAATGCTCATTCTACGAGGAAACGACGGTTCACTGATCTTGTGTTTTCAAATGTGGTCTAACATCGATCATTTAATTACTTCAGTGAAATTCAACAATCTTTACTACCCTAAACCTTGTGGTATCAAATGAAATTTATTGAATTACAATCTAAACGATTGTGTTGCATTTATTACCATACGAAATGCACCATATTGAGACAATGTTTATCATTGTGAAAATACTTGAAACACACGAAATGATAACTGTTTCATGTACCCTATTTTGTATAATGCTACACAGTTCGTGAGTGATTAACAACAACATATAATACAAATACATCATTCACATATTAGTTTCAGTTGTTTTCGGCTCAAGATACACCAAAGTCAATTTGAATAAGCTCAAATGACTGGTTTTATTGAAGGTGTATAATATAAATGAACTTGGTAGAGGAAAATGCTTCATTTTCATCTGGATTATAGTACGATCTAACCGTGAGCTGAGTTGACTATCTCCTTGGTGTATTGAACAATGTTGTGTGAACAGTGTTCACTCATTGATTATTACCGATTCATGAACAATACTCATTCTCCTTCAAACGTTTGTTTTAGATATGGTAACCACTAGTGCAACTGAAAATATCGGCGATGACAATGATGTGTCGATTCATCCATCAGAGGATTTTAGATTACCACGCACATTGTTTCCACATTTCTACGATTTGTCAATTCAAGTCCATTTGCACGATAACAAGTCACAGGCATTTTTCTTCAATGGATCTGTGACAATAAAAGTTTTCTGTAATATGTCCACAACCGAGTTCTTCGTACATGCATCCGATAATCTGAATGTGAGCTTGGATCAAATCCATGTAAGCTATAGTTTTCAACCTTACTTTTATTGGAAAATAATCCGTTCTTTGAAATGAGGATAAAATAAACTGACGAACTCATATAATGCAAGAGTATCCAATGAAAACGAAACATTCACCTACATTTATGTCATCGTTTGTGTGGAAAGTATCCTCTATTTCATTTACTTTTTTAATTCGACTGTTTTTCATTAAAAACTGGTTCCTAATCGGAACATCTCGCTTAAATAAATAAATCGACATTTCGATAAGTTGTAAGTGGACATTCAAATGTCTTAACCACGTAAACTTGGAAGTTGATAACATCGTGTGAGTGAAGTAATAATGTGGTTGTCTCTGTCAACCGAATTTTACATGATCGACCAGATGTCTACCACGTATGTGATAATAATATGACTGTTGAAAGTTATTATTCATCATTAACTGAAATTCAGAACTTTGATAAAGTTTATTCAACAAAATGTCTTTTCAGAATCATCATTTATAATGGTTTATTTCACAGTGATTCAAACAGAATTTTGACTAGACTGAAGTTCAAGTAAAAACTCGCTTCTAATTAATTTCCAATTATGTTGTAGTGAACAAAAACACCAGTGGGTACAATCGGATTTCTTAGCTAGGAAATTGTTATTAAATTTGCAAAATGACCATCAATTGTCCCAAAATGACTCAGACTTCATTGTTCTTGCATCTTCATACAAACTGCATTCTGTTTCCATTATTTACTGTTTGATCCTCTTGTCTCTCTGCTACCAGACATTCAGTTCATGATTGTCGTCATATTCTGCTTATGTCAATATAAGTAGGACACACCACAACATCATCCGAGTCAGAACACAATTACATTATTGTATCTCTCAAATTATTTGAAAACAATATTGTCTGATACAACTTGCAAGTGAAGTTGTACGAAAGGAAACAAAAGTGGCAATTACTTAAATGTAAGATGTTAACTAAAGGTTATTTTACTAAAACAAACAATCTCATATACCGGAAGAAAACTCATTTTTAAACAAAATAAGCGACACTAACATAAGAAATTTGAATTTATTCAGGGGGTCAACCAATTAATTTTATCAAATAGCATAAGATTCTTTAATGACTCACATTAACTTTACGCCCAAATATTGTGAAACTATTCGTTCAAATTGAGACGAAAGCTCTTATTTAGCATAAGATTCTACATTTATGATCCAAAACGGATCCCTTGAAAATACCAACATCACCGCTTTTTTAATAGAGCAACTAAGAGGCACATTTAAGACTAAATCCACTCGGTATTGTTTACTTGAATGTTGCCATTGATGTTTGGAACTGCGATTGATCATTCTCTTAAATGCACATGTGCATACTGTGAGCATTGTATGGATATTTCATGAATTCACAAACATTATAAGCAAGGATGGATAGTGGCTAGCAGTGTGATCTAGGACGCACGTTTGTCCTATTCAGGACTCGTCAGCTAGATGCACCGTCCACCAGCATTCCTCATCCAACTGTGTCATAGACAATCCTTTCCAGTTCTTTCCACTCCCTATTCATCCAGTCAGTGTTTTCTTCTAATACTTGATTTAGTGTGTTGTTTGGTGTTCCTTTCTTCCGTCTCCATTCACGATTCCAAATTAGTGCTGACCTCGTGATGCAGTTTAATGAAATCCACAATATATTTCCTATCCAATTCCAACGTCTTTTCCTAATTTTCTGTCCACTTGGAAACTAGTTTGTTATTCATTTTATCTAGACAAACAATATTGAGAACCTTTTGAAGACAATTGTTTGTATATGTTTGTTTTCCTTTGATGATGGCTGTGGTAGTTATCCAATTTTCAGCTCAGTGCAATGGAACTGCTTTGATGTTCTGTCCAGGTTGGTTTAATGTGTGTCACTGAGTCCGAATATTACTCCTCATTTCCGTAGCTATCTAGTCAGTTCTCCCGGCCCCCCCTATTGTCCATACATTCCATGTAACTATACTAATAGTTGCTCTGTTTGTTCTGCCTTCTGAAGAATCCCGGTTTTCACCATGAGGCATCCTAACTCTTCTAGTTAAATATCCCTAAACTGGGAGGCCAGAGTCTAAATGGTTCAAATGATGATTCTGTGTAGTCATGTTTTACTAAGTTTATTTTTTGTCGCACGTGGTGGCTAACGTTATAAACCACACTCCTCATTTATCCGGGTTCGCAACTACGAGTAACCCTAGAAGAGCTACAGACAGAGATATTTATTGCCGAAAATAAAAGATTTTTGTTCGCATTATTCTTCTTTCACTGTAGTGAATCCCACTCTCTACATAAACGGAAATAAAATACCATCTATTCAAAATGTGAATTTTCTTTGTGATCAAATATAGATATTGTCACTTTACAATAATTCCCGTCTGTGCTTTTTGAAAACAGATGTCGCTTCTTGATGAAAAAAATCAAACAAGTTCTTACATTCAAATAGACGAAGTTCATTATATTGAAGATGCTGAGTGTTATCGAATTAAACTCAAAACGCCTTTGCAACCATATACTTATTACAACCTGACATTTGGACAGTTTCGTTCTGATATGGACTATGATTCTGATGGACTGTATATTAGCAGATATTTGGAGAATGGGATTTACAAGTGAGTCTCGATTTAAGACATATATGTGCAGGTTTATTTGGTGGCGGGTACCAACTCAATGGTGACTGCGAATAACAATCATTTGCATACATACTTGAACGGCAATAATCAACGCTTAACGATCACCTCATAATACACGTTTATTTGCTCACTGTGTTTCGGTTAGAGATGCATTTATTCAGTGCTAACTCGACAATGAAAATTCGTCTCTAGGAACGCAATGTGTGTTTACTGATGTGTGACATGTCCTGTAGTCATCATATCGTAACTATGATCAGTATTATTACATGGTTTACAATTCCATTTGGTTTTCCATAGAGACATAGGTACAGATTACTAATAATCTTTGGAAGGTTTAGAAAGACTGGTGAATTCTTTCTGCCTTATCAATATAAAATAATAAATGTGGATTATTCCAAATGGTGTCTAGAATTGTGAAACAGTATAAACGTGATGATAACAAATTCATAAGTCATCAAAGATGAGTCAGAACTTTTCACGTCAGCGAAAATATGATTGTGTAGATGTACTGAGCAACACAGTGGATGACACAATGACTTTCCGAAATAAGTGGACTATATGAATGGTAACTCGTCAGAAATCACAGGTGACATGTTGGGCACGATATTTTTTCGAGACGGTTCTCTTTGCTCGAAAGCACCTTTTTAAGCATCAACTATCGGAAATGAGATATGTACTTGTAAACAAATGTTCACCGTTATACATATATTTCAGATATTTGGCAAGTACTTACATGGAGTCAATTTATGCAAGGAATGTATTTCCATGTTGGGATGAGCCGGAATTTAAAGCAAATTTCAAGGTATGATATATTTGACCTTTATTTCATTTTCATATTTTTACGTATGATTTGTGATCTTTTGTGAATCCGAGTCAGTTTTTATTAGAATGCAAAATTATTAAACCGAATGATGCTTTATGATTTAAATGCTGTGTGTGTGATATGCGAACACTTAATTGATGATAATGATGAGCTTAGCTTACTTCAGTCATGCTATGAAACACAATATTAGTTAAATTGATTAAATCGGTTCATGACCTCGTTTTACCAACACACTTCAAAATTTATTGATGTGTATCATGTTGTTTGAAGGCAACTGGTTATCTGTTAAAAGGCACATATACTAAAACCGATGTACAATGTTCTTATGAGAATTTACTGGAATTAACCAGTCGAATACAAACAGCGACAATCCAAAATAACGTATTCTCTTCTGAAACGTTAGCGTATATAATGACAGCAATACATTTCTTGCACTAAATCAATGTACAGAATTGAGTTACAACACTCCCTATCATCTACATGTTACCACAAAGCTCTCCATAAACCATGGGTAGGTAACCAGTGTTGATAAGTCTTAAATGAGCATATTTTCTATTTGTTTCATACTTATGTGCGACGAAAACTGCAGATGAATATCAAACATTCGCAGATGGCACTCAAGATCATATGAACATATAGCCTATTCAGTATGCAACATGTTTCATTCAGACAACAATTCCACGACTGCCCAATGAGTAATCCATCAACTCAGTTAGAAAATTAGTTTCCACATGAGTTAAGGATTTCCAGGTGGTTATGTGATATATTGCTAAATAAGCACGATAAGAATCTTGAATTGTTTTAATTGGGTAAACATACCACTTATTATTCGATAACAAATTTCTCACGTTTGTATCTTTCAGGTCAATATTGTACGCGATGAAAATTTCCATTCGCTTTCAAACATGAATTTGGAAAGTACGGAGGTGTTGTACGATAATTGGCGTGTCGACAGATATAACACCAGTGTGAAAATGTCCACATATCTGTTGGCATTTGTAGTTTCACAGTTTTCGAATATTCAGAGGACAGACAATAGAGGACGAAACGTGAGTGTTATCAATTACACAAAGTTTTGTAACTCTCCATGCAATACTTTCGTAGTGTATCGAAATCATGTATATCCAGGAATAACCACCATGAGATTGCATGCAACCGATCATCCGAGACGGTTCGGGATATACGTAGCTCCACGTTACATACATACTAGCATTCACTGTGAAGTAGTGGCAGTTCCTGGATGTTTCGAAGTTATGTGAACACACTTAAAACGCCGCAGTGATGGTAGAAACTAAAACAGAACACGTGAATAGAGGATGTCTATACAAGTATTCAAAAGCACAAGCATTGTTTGACGGTACAAGCCATTGTTTTAACAATGCTGAGTTCTCTGTGTGTTTCAATCAAATCAAAGTGGTTCAATCACTCGTGACATTGAAAACAGTCTTTTCTATCAAGTTGTAGCAATAATGACTTGAAGTTCATTTAATTTTTTCATAAGACTGATCCATTTCTGGATAAAATAATTCTTTCATTTAGTTCACTGTTTGGGCAAGACCGGATAAAATTCGTTCAGCCGAATATGCACTTGATATTGGCATAAAATTATTGGGTTACTTTGAAGACTATTTTGGCATTCCCTATTCACTTCCTAAAATGGGTAGGTATTTCACACAAATGTGTTTACGTTTAATATATGTGTAATTAAATACTGTACAATGTAAACTATGCAACCAAACAATAAGATCTAAATAACTGAAAGAGATGCATGATCAACCAAATCCGATGTTATTTTATTTAGGCTAATTATATTTTGAACTGGAGTGGATTGAATCATAACAAATATATTCAATAAATAAATAATACATTTGTAATATCCCAATGAGTAGAAACATTAAATTTTCTGATATATCGTGACTCAATGTAAGCCACTTCTTCAGAGAATAAATAATCACATCCAAAAAAAAGTATTCAGCTATTTAACTGCGGTAAATATTTGCATACATATGGATGTGCATAGCTAATCCATTTTACTGAGTATGCACAACAGTGTATGTATGTTTGTACGTATTTATGTAGGTTTGTATATATGTAGGTATGTATGTGAATTGAAACATATCTTCCATGATGTTTTCAGATATGATTGCGATTCCTAACTCTTCAATAACGGCAATGGAAAACTGGGGTTTGATAACTTATGATGAAAATGTGATGTTATGGGACGCAGAAAACGGTTCAGTAAATACCCTAATTGATGTGACGTTTACCGTCTCACATAAACTTGCTCATCAGGTATGCTTTTAAATGAAAGACGAAACGTTAAATTCACTTTATTTCTCTTTAATTTAAAGATCTTTCGAATTATAAAATTACACTATTTGGAAAACGAACGAAAACTGATTCATTGTGGCTTTCGACTGCAGGAATGACAACACACAGAATATTTGAGATTTCCGGCTAGCTAGTTTCGTTTACTTCATTAAGTTGGACTCTAATAATACACGTATCTAGGTTAATTTAGTTCCTGCTCATTGTTGATAGACGCCCTAAGTAAAATAATCATTCAAATGATCCAAGCGATTTCTTAAATTTCTGTTGCTCATTCATCACCTCATATAGCACAATAACTGCTCTCATCTAGTCAATTCTCACTGGTTGTAGTTGAATTCCATCAGTTACTCATTTTCACTACACCATTAGGAATTTCTTTTGCAACTAGGATTCAGGAACGTAATATAAAATGTCATCACGATGTACAAGCATCATTTTTAACAATATAAGTATATGAACTTATGTAAATATCGAAATCGATCGAGCGATCCAAATGTGTTACGTTTATCAGCTTTCAATTTAGACAATTTTCTTTCAGTGGTTAGGAAACTTAGTGACAATGAAATGGTGGGATAACTTGTGGCTGAACGAAGGCTTCGCAACATTTTTCGAATACATTGGAGTACAGTTACTACATCCTGAGTGGAAAATAGTAAGTTGAGTGTTTTCTTTGAGGATATTATCAGTTCATTGTCTCATTTTGTACATGTCACTTGTCATTTCAGAAATTTTCTTCATATAACCTGTACATGCTGCATAGAAGCGGGTATTTATAGATGAAGTTTTGCATAGCTGGACACCACACACATAGAATGTTTAGCAAATTACATAAATTCCTAAAATTTAAGATTTATCCGAACTCTATTTCACTCATCCAAAATGGTAGTTTTACTTTAATTCAAGTAGTGAGCATTGTTTGAATTCACTCTGTAATAAGAAGGAAGAATTTAATCAGTCTTCAGATGGCGCCGGAAAAATTCACAAATACTGAGATGATTAGTGACCCTTCACTAAATAATAGCGAATGTTTGAACAAATTTAGTACACATTATGATTATATTGTGGATAATATTGTTATCGATAAAGATGAATTTTTTCTTCGATGAATAGGATGAACTATTCATACTGGATGAATTGATGCTTGCACTTGATATTGATACTTCGATGGAATCAAGACCAGTCGTTTATCCAGCTAATACTACAACACAAATTAAAAGCATGTTTGACTTAATCACCTATGATAAGGTCAGTTCTGTATTGGCTGTTGATTTTTTTCAAATGTTGTATTTTACTTTTCTGAAAATGGAAATATTGTGAATAAAAACATCATATATGGACGAACATTATTGCTTCCAAATAGATCCCTGTCTGATTTGACTCTGGCATACAGCAATATTTATACGGATGTACAAAATTATTGAACCAATCAGGGGATTCGATGAGTCAGTGATAACAGTGGAACAGATTACATAAATAAACATAATAATTAAGAAGCACGAATTAATGGTGTAATGACAGGTGTACTAGTTGTGATAAGAACATGAAAAGCTTGAATCTATGCTTCATAATTGGAAATATGTGAATGACTTGAAAAATACAGATGCTGAAATAACGTTCATAAAAGCTGTAAGATCATGCAATCACACGTTTTCAGATAATTGGACAATGAAGCATATATTTAAAAAAAAATGAGCAGGGAGGTGGAGAAAAATAAACGATCAATGAGTATGCAAAATAATAGTGGGTAAAATCTCTTATTAACTCTGATTCAGCCAAGGGAGAGTTAAGGCTGTTCCAAATTTCTGTTGGCAACTAGTTTCAGTAGAGGTTCTAAGATTCGAACTTGTTATTCATAACAATTTCGACACATTTCTAATTAGTCATAAATAATATTGTCTAAGTGATTGATGTATCCGAATATTTGAGTACACTCCTGACATTCAAAATCATGTAGTTCATTATTCTCTCATATTTGTAATTAACAGAATTGTGTATGTTTTAAGAAGGTTACACAACAAAATTTCAGTGATGTTTAAACATGAACTTTATATCTAGGTTAAGACTACGAAAACCAGAATTTTATTTACACGATAGAAAACAGTCGCCACCTGAACGAATGCATAACATTTGTTAGAACAAGTAAATCAAACGACTTCTCACTGAGCAATATGGAACAATGTACATGCAATTATAATTCTCCAAGGTTCTTACGTGAATTAACCGAACCATAATACACAGTAATATTTCACTTTGTGTGAATCCATTATAATGTGAAAGTATATGGTGATTGACCATGTGACATATTCTATTGAAAAAAATAACATTACTAAGTGCATCTTGACTTTGTTATCCATTTGGAGTAAATTCATTTGTTTCCTATCGTCGGCTGGACCCAAGTAAACTGATTGACTAATCTAACTTACCTACACATTCATTCCGTGTTTCATATATATGTTGATATTCTACGTTGCATTCGATAATTCACAGGGCGCCTCTTTGGTTTGGATGATGGAGAAATTCATGGGCCGTAGCGCTTTTCGAAACGGTTTAAAAGTACGTTGATAATGGTTATTTCGTTGTAACTCAGTGTCACTTAATCTAGTCTCAACGGTCACATTCAATAGTGGACTGATTTTTCTTCGTTGACTAAGTATTTTCGAAGTTCTCTTCTACACGTTTTTATCAACAGACAGTCTACTCAATAAAAAACTTAAACTCGTATGTCGTCATGAACAAATGGAAAATGTTTTTAAAATCAAATATTGTCTGGCCAACTCACAATCCATATTCACTATAGCTAAATTAGTGATATATTTTATATCAAGTCGGTGTAAATGTCACTACAAACAAATTATGTTAAACAGACTTCACTCACCATTATATCTGACAGATCGCTGGTTGAAATTGTATCCCACCTAATTATGTACAGTATATCTGTCACGACCTGTCATCAGCTGCACTAACGTAAGTGAATATTACTGAATATAAAATCGGTTTGGAAACTGCAAAATTTATTTGGGAGTACACCAACAATAACTGATTTGTGGATTTTAGATGGAAAAGTTCGGTTATTTTTTTGACGTTCAACAACCTCACTTCAACATGAATCTTATTTAGATTGTGTGTGGTATTCTGGAAGAATGCAGAAACACAGCACTGAGCTGTAATTTTTGCTGTCTAGGCTTAAATCCTATGATTGAATTCATGATAACTTGCAAATTGAAATCCGGAAATGCCTTATATAATACGTTTTTCTGTGTTTGTTTAAGAGATACTTAATTCGAAACCAATATAAGAACACAGATGAAAAGGATTTATGGAAGGCATTATCTGAAGTAAGCATTTGGTGATTATTACATTAATACAAAACATTTGGTGTAATGCATTTTGTTGTTGAGCTCCTTTCATAATTTCTCCCGATCGTCACGCATTTTGTTATTACTGAACAGAATTATCGCCTTGAAACATATTTCAGAAAAGAGATCAAATATTTATGGTATCATTTGATGAACAATTTCGTGATTCATATTCCTATTTGCTATCCGTTCTCCCACACTGTTCCTACTTATTCTTTGTTGTTATTCTGAAAAGACACTAGACTATATGGTAGCAGTAGTTGGAGTTTCATCCATTGATTCATTCCATCGATTGTAATAACAGTGGTAGAACCTCAATAATCAGTTTGTGTATGTGATCATGCTTGAGCATGCTGCATTAAATTATTCATCCACCTACTACATTCCCAATAAATGAACTAATAGTGAATAGTCTTAAACAATCAGTGAATTTAACTGTATTGTATTCAGTTATATCCACCACTATTCTCGAACCACGCGATACTGTAATATTATTTATTAAAAGTATGAGGCCAATAACCTAATCAAAATTTCGTTTTAATTGGAAATTAGGAATGGAATACTCAAGGAAATCATTTGGACATTGGATTGGTTATGGATTCTTGGACTAAACAAAGGAATTATCCACTAGTGATTGTAAAGAGAAATGGGTCGAATGTGTTCTGTTTCGAGCAGATACGTTACTTTCAACACTATGGTAACAAGTCATCTCAAACAAATCGTGAGTAAGTGAACTATGTATTAATTTAGACAACATACGTATTCAAAGATTATATATGAAGAAAAGTGAGTTTGTGATGTATGCAACATTTGTTATCGTGTTGCGTGGTACTGGTGTCGATAGATATAATTAGGACGTACCATCACGTTAAGGTGAATGCCTGGGGGCGGGAGGTTTCCAAGATCGAAGAGAAGAGAAGGAGAACAGAGAATGATTAGTGTGGAAATGAAGAAATAATGAAGTTTGAGACAATTGATTGCTTTTTTGCGAATGAACTAGTTGCTGTATTGCTCTCACTACATTTTAATAGGTTATCTTAAATCATTGCCATTTTCCAATTTATATGACGAGATAAAGAGGTGAAATCAAATCTGACTCATTGTGATTTTCAACCAACATATCTTCCGTCTCTTACTCGGTGTATTAATGTTTTAATTTTCCAGTGTGATATTTTATTCCACGTAACAATAATTTATTTCAGCGTGGTGTTCATTCAAGATACGATATACTCGTATTAAATTAACATAACCTCTGCTCAGCATGAAATGTAGCATGTGATTTGTTAAAATTTTGCGTGTTTTTCATACATGTGATTTTATTCCAATCAGTAAACGAAATGGGCGTACGATCAATATATAATGAATGTCTTTTCGACTAGTATCGTTGTTGTATTTCCGAGATGATTGGTCGTCGATTTCGCCAATCCCGGTGTTTGTAATTCGTGTCGTGGGAAATGCAGTGGCCTCTCGTTTTTTCAAGCATTCGGTAACACGGATATAAAGATTATCTATGGGGATTTCGGAAAAGTGACAGTAATAGTGGAAACCTTAATGTACCTGGACAGCATCATTGATGACCAAAGAGGACCCAATGCACATGTGTAGGCGAGAGTTGACAGAACGAGGACTACGTTCCTATAGTTGAAGTGCATATGGAGCTCCGAACAACTGTATGCAAGCAAATATCATAGTCAGAATGTTGAATACAAGCGTCGAAATAGTTCTGTTGCACTGAGCGGCGACGTGTAGGACTACTAAAACCATCATCAAAAATGTACGAGCATTTGTAAACAATAGTCTGCACAAGATACTTACTGTCCGTTGGCCAGATACAATAAGCAACAGTGTACATTGGGAGACAACAGACCACCATTCAAACGGAGAGGAAATTAGAGAAAAGAATTTGGAGGCGGATAAGAAGTACATTGAAGACGGGACACTCAGTAGTGCATTAAACTAACGGATATTCCTATTTACACATATATGAAATCCAACTTGACCTCTATCAATCAACCAGCATTATCAACATGTGTTTTGTTATGGTACTCGATCAAACTGCCTGTTTTCGATCATTATATTTATAGTTTGATAGCTTTTAATGTTCATTATTATACGCTTTGCTTCATTCAGATACTCCTGGAGAATACCAATCACTTATGGGTCAGCACAAACGGTGAATTGGACAAATGTCGATATTGTGTGGATAATGAACAGTAAGAAATACCATTTTGCCGTTTTCATTAGTATAAGTGATTATTATGCTTCACATACCTGTACATACTTCGCGTCACATTCTGAGGCTAGATAGTCGGTTTGACGAGCCTTTCTCGACAATGAGAACATGGTTGTCCTATCCAACAAGTGTAGCACTAATTTATACTGAGTCATGTTTCTAACCTTACATAAAAGAAAACGTTCATCGTCCCTTCAATATTCAATAGATGACATGAAAATAATCACTTAAACTCCACGCACTTATTCAGCTTTAACTGTTTATATCATAATAATAGTGTAATAATAATAATATAAATAATATTATAATATTAATGACTTATTTGATTATTCCTCGATTCCACAAGACAAAATGAATCAAACAATGAACATAAGCTCAGACGACTGGTATTTGGTGAATGTAAAACAAGGTGGATTTTATCGGTTCACTACGCTGACAATAACTGGATCTTATTAATCGATCAATTGCAAAGGAATCTCACGGTTTGTTCGAAACACTTGTGTTTCTCTCTGTTATAAATAACTATTCTATCAAATATTTTAAATTTAATCTTGTTAGTAACATGGAAATTGATAGATAAGCATAATTATGATGATAAATTTTGTAGAATATGATAAGGAATACAAGATATTTTAATATAAACTATTGAGAATGGATCTTCATTCATTGTGAATATCCAACTTTAATCATTGTGTTATGAAACACACCACATCTTAAGTCAGACGGCATGACCATTTACCAAGTAAGCATACGAAGCCACATGTAAAATAAATTTTTGTCATTTGACATAAGGACGCTCTAACGTAATTATTTATTTAAATATTTACTTACCTACTTGATTGTGTACCCAAATGCCTACGTCTGTACTTACTTACCTACTTACTTATATAATTGCACACTGAATTTCTGTCGCCTGACAATACTCAGAACAGCTCAGGCTGCCAACTGGGATTCTCCAAACTATTCTATCCTAGCGTTCTTTCCAATCGTCGAAAATTGTTTCTCATTTCTTCGATATATACCTCGAATTACGACGCAACATGTTCTTTGATCTTCCTCTGTACCTCTTGCCTTCTGGATTCGGTGTGATTGTCTCGAGATTCCATCTGATGGTTAACTCAGCATATGTCGTACCCACTTCCAACGCCACGTCGTGCTTTCATATTCAGATGGAAGTTGGTTTGTTTTCTGCCGCAGTGTGTTGCTCTTGATGGCATCCGGTCAACCGATATTGAGTGTCTTGTTCAGACAACTATTTGTGAACACATGTTCCTTTTGATGGTGGTTATGGAAGTTCTGGAGTTTTCAGCTCAGTAAACTAGAACTGTCTCGATGTTTGTATTGAAGATTCTGTATTCGACTCATATGTCTTCAACTGTAAGAGTAGTGCCGTTACTTTGCCAATCCTTTACTCTGCATCTATCACACATCCTCCTAGTTAGTTGATGATTTTTCCCAGATATGTGAATGATTCCACCCCTTCCGGAGCTAATACATCAAGTGTGATTTGGTTGGTTTTCTTCATGACTCATTTGAGGATCTTGCTTATTCTCTTTGTGAGTGTTGGGTTCTACTGCTCTGGAGGCCGCTGCTACACTGACTGTCTTCACCTGGATTGGTGGTGTGCGTTATATAGAAGATCTAAGTCATCTACTGACTCCATAATATCCAAGTGAATCGAAGCTGTCCGATGTGTTCCATGCTTCTCCTGAGACGCGGTCGTTTCCACATTTCAGTTGACTGCTGGAAGGAAGAGAAATAGCGATATTAGGTATCTTGCGGCCCAGCAACTACAGGCGTGTAAAAGTTACTGCCTCATTTTCAGCTGTTCCCTATGATAGTTTTCTAGTGTCTGGGTAGATTACTAAACCTTCGAATACATTACTGAGATTCATTTTTAATTCGTTCTGGTTGTCAGCATCTAGTAGAAACAATGCATTGGATATTTCAATGCTGTTAATACAGTTGTCCATTTTCCCTTCGGCTCTAGTTTTATCTTAGCCACAACCGGGTGGTATTATGAAGTGATGTCAACCACTCTCCTTGTTTTCACGTATAATATATTGTGACGAGTTTCATTCAGTTGATTGTCCCACTTCTATCGCCAGTGTTCGTGATTTCGTTTGCACACAAACGATCCCTATGAAATCCAGAATATCGATCTCGAATGTGGTAGTCTACTGAGTCTCATGATCGATTCAACAACACTGTGTTGACATCATTGTAACAGAACCTAGAGCACGTTTGCAGGTATTTCTGTGCCTGAATTCAATGTATCAGCTGGTATGCTGGCTGACATTGCAGCTTTGATGTCCGGTTGTTTCAGTTGAACTGGTCTATTACAGTGTTGTTGAAAGTGCTGTAACCGAGGGCCAGATAGAGTTCTATGCATTGTGATGATGATTTTTGTGTTTGAGCAACTGACCCGTTGCATTTACTGCTTCTTTAATCTTCTAGTTATGCTTCTGAGTAGTTCACTCTCTTGGAGTAGATCTTGTAAAACTTGGAGATTGTTGCTGAGATCTATCATGAAAATATAAGAACGCAAATAACAATGTATAAGGTGGAGGACGTGAAAGAATTAAATCAACCTGTCACCCATTTCATTAACTCGAGAGATTACCAACCGTGTAGAAGTTGAGTGGTAGAAATACAAAGTGAGATGGAATATTATATTGCATGCAATATTTATGGTCAGACATATATGGAAGTTGTGTATGAATGTAAACATTTAGAGACATGAATATGTACATCAAAACATATTGAATTTTGCTTCAGGCTGTTAATTCATAATTTCAGCTCTCCACTATGTGTCGCAAACTAAGATGTGATCTTTTTGAAATCACATTCATTTTATAGATTTCATTTTACATTGTGATTCGATGTTTTACAAGGCATTTCGATTTCTATCTGATTTTTTTATGTCTAGGCTATTCCAGTTTTCTCACGCGCACAAATATTGAATGATTTATTCAGTCTTGCAAAGTAAGTGTCAAGTGGAAAGAAACCAACTTCTTTTTGGATGATATTTGTTCTGTTACAAAATATCGGGCTAGTTAATAACTTTGATTCCAAATACCAATTAAAAACACAAAAAATTGACGGAAACTAGTCAATATGTGAAAACAATGAGTACGTGACAACGTATATTACCTGATTGTCGAAGAAAATAAATTGATTTTGTGTGATATAGAAAATTTTTTCATCTTATGTAGTGGATTCTGAATTTATGAGAGCTGATGATCCATAGAATAAATGTTAAGCATACGGGTCTATTTATTCAAGGAGGAGAAGAATAAAGCATCAATTGGCAGTATTAACTTGCGAAATTCGAAGGGATGCTAGGATGATGAAATAAAAAAGCATTAAGCATCAGTTTGAGTGTGAAATATTGAATTTCTATAGATTCGACTGTGAACAAATTACTCAAACAAGTCTTTTTGAGCCTATTTTTCACTTTGCGATTAACTCACAATTATCTATTTTGTTTTGCTTTGGCCTCCTTGTCAGTCGTCATATCGTGCCATATACTCTTTTCTTGAACGCAACAAAATATTTAAACCGCGAAGATGAGTTTATCGTATGGATAACAGCTAGTCGAGCGCTGCTTTACATTAATAACGTGCTTGCTCTGAATGAGAATTATGAAGATTTCCAAGCATACTTGCGAACTCTTATCGATAACCGGATTCGATCAGCTAATTGGTCATTTGTTGGCAGAGGTCAAGATCTTCCAAAGATGTGAGTAGCAATATTTCCATTTCATATGTCTGCGCTCTGTCATATCACTCATATTGTCTCAGAAGACTTCTTGTTCGAAACAATGAATATGGAAGTCATTCAACAGAATATGACGGATTTGCCAGTATGATTATCAGAATTGCTAATTGAAGCAAACAGTAGCTGCGAAACAGATGAAACTTACGATTTCTGAAAGGTGTGAGATTCATCAAACAGGGGTTTGAATGTCTGAACCATGTTAATAAACTGGAAGAGTTTTGAATAAACGAATTTAAGGTTAAGTGATTGATTAGTTTGGACTTCAAATTGTGTGCTCTTGTAATTAGAAACACACTGTTGTTGCCTGAGTGAACTCGTTAATTAACTGTAAATGGTGTATTGTTGTAATATAGTTATCTGAAATCCATGTAGTAAGAACGGTCCTAATCGGATATTCAAAGTTTTACTTTTTCATTTGAAGTGTATTATAATGGAAGCGGTAAAAGCTCGCCGTTAAAATGAGATGAAAATTTATTTCTTCAAAAACTATAGAAATCACCAGCTCGTCGATGTTGTACCAACTGATGAGTTTAATGACATTAGATTTTTCGTAAAAGGATAGCAAAACAGGTTTCGAGACAATGCAATATGTGGGAGCATTTTGATGTGAAGACATTATGTTTCAGCTACAAAATCGCAGCAATCTCGAATCCATTGGATAAACCGTTGTTCTCAACGAACAGATTCAGGCATCTCCGGGATATTTTATTTCTATCAACTACTTAAATAACTCACTAATAATAAGCGGATTAGTATAAACAAATAACGTATATATATGTACATATTTACTAAAGTATAACATAATTATCCTTCCACCATTTACTCGATTTTAGACGTTTAGACTATAATGTGATCAAACTCGCTTGTGTAGCTGAACACCAACTTTGTGTGAACAAAACTACGGATCTCTTCAGACAATGGATGTCGAAGCCCGAAACCAACCCGTTAGTCATACAATTAATGATTTTTATATGATAAAAGAGACTACCGTCTAATAAGTCTTTGTATTATGTTTAATTTTATTTGAACTGATTCTTGAAACAGACCCTAAAATAGATTGTTTGATCAGTTTTTTGTTGCTATGGTCATACACGAATGCATGAATAGTTTGTCAATGTTATGGTTTCCTGGGTGTAAAGAACAAATAAGTCAGTAGGCGTAGTGAAACGGCTGTGAAACTGATGTGCATAGTAGACGGATGTGTGCTGTCAGTCGACAATAACTCCCTTGTATGAATATAAGATTTTTATTTGCGAGAAATCTTCGAAACGACTCGTGATTCGACATTTCTACACCATTCCGAACAACGCACTCCAACTTATGTGCGATATTTTGGAGTGAGTGATCTACTAACTCTAAAATATCCATGTGAATTGAGGCTGTCCAATGTATTCAGTACTTCTCCTGAGATGTGGCTGTTTTCACATTTCAGTTGGCTGCCGCGAGAAAGAGCAGGAGAATAGGTACTCGGCCTTGTATTATACTAATTTTCACTTGCTATTCATCCATCTGCTGTCTGCCATGCGTGAAATTGAATTGTGATCCGTAGTCTGGATTCCATTTGATGCTGACAATCTTTCCAGTCACAATACAGTTGAACATGGTTTTTATTGTTTTCCCTATCTTCAATGTCGAACGCTTTTTCATAACCAAGAAAGTTGTTTCTTAATGACGGATTCATTTTAACTAGTTGCTTTGGTTTGGGCACCCGGGCAGTATCACAGCTCTCACACATATCAAATGAGATTTGTGTGACGCATATGTATCAGGTGCCTCCTTGTACCAATATCAATGTGTTAAAATAAAATAAATGAATAAATAATCTACATTGATCTATTGTATGGCGATGTCGTATGTGCACGACCGATTGTTAAGAAACGTAGCCGGTTAACTTCGAAGTTGAGATATCCCACCGAATATAAGTTATGATTTTTGATGTTTCGTGGCCTTAACGAGATCGATTTATCACAGTTCACAGTTAAACAAATTAAAACATGCGAATTTGATCGTTCAGAATTAAACAAATTGATCTTACGAAGAACATTCACACCCGAAAATGATTGGAGATTTAAGTAGTTAATATTTCCGAGCTATATTGATAAGCATACATTATGCTTATTATGCCTACAAATGTATCTGGAAGCGTAATGTATGAATGAACGTAACACAATAATCATACGTATTGAAATCGATCTTACGATCTTATAACAAGAAAGTTAATTAACTCTGTAAACGAAAGAATAATAAACGTTTATTGTTTTGAATAGTTTTTAAGAAATTTTGACATTCAATTCCCATACACGCATATAGTCATAAATCTCTAGAAGTAATTTCATTTCAATCGAATGAAAGTAATGTTTTCGTTCACGTTTGTTTTATTTTACAGGATACGATCTCCTTTGAGATTCATTACTTATTGTACAGCTATTCGTCATGGTGGTCATGAAGAATGGAAATTTTTAGAAAGTCAGCTGACGTTGAACGATTCTGTAAATGAGGAAGATAACGAAAACAAGATGTTGGCATTAACGTGTTCTCGTGACACAGAAATCATGAAAGAGTAAGTTAATCTGTTACCTTCAATATTACACTGTCACATCTGGTAATGAAAACGGTAACCCGACTAGATGTTTGGAATCCCCATTCCTATCAACTAATGAATATGGTCACAGAATCTATATCCGTTTGTTATAATCGAAGATTTCACAAAACGTGCATAATATTTTCTCAAATTATGTGTGAAAATGACTATGATTGAATAATTGGAGAGATATATGTTTTTCTCCTTTAACGACCATTGAACAACCAAACACTGTCAAGCCTAATGAAAGTTTATAACATGAGCTTACACCAACTCACCCGCAAATGTAACAGGACACAGGACATGTTTTTAATTAATGGTTGAAACTACATAAAACTTGACCATTCACGTTTTTGAAAGGAGTTTATAAAGTACCATCGAGTAAACACGACAAATTTGAACCACTGATTCAAATCCTAGTGGTTTACATCGTCAACTTCAGTTAATTCGCTTTCATGTCATAATTGACTTAAATTTAACTCCGTGTGGATATACTGAGATCAGTAGAATTTCACATGTGTATCAACAATTACCTCATAATTATCATCAAGATATAGCACTCACAAAATCTCTGAGTACACGAATGTTTAAAGTCAACTAGAACCCATCGATTAATACTGAACAAATTTTTCTCAATTCAACAACAACGTTCACTGACAAGCAAAACCGACATCAATGGGACTACCGATATCAAGACTTATTACAAAGTGGTGATGTAATAACTGAAAGCTTCATATATACCAGTAATCACACTGAGAATGTCGATTCGTTATGTGTACGACACGTTCGTCATCATCGAGAAGACCTAGTTTAAAATACGACATCTTCGGAGGGATAGAATTCACAATAAAATGAGAAGGAATCGTCGTCAAGACCAGTCATTTTGGCTACAAATCTCATCGACCATACCTTAGTCCTGGCCCTCATATCCTTTTATTCTACAGATGTAAATGTTCATATGATTAAATTAGCACACCACACTTACTTAGCTAAACATTTCTTCCATCTTTTCACCAGGTACTTAGAGCGGGTAAGAGAGAACGAGAACTTGTGGTTTACGCTTGACTATTTCGCGAAATCTCCAGTTGGCAACCAACTTTTATGGGACCACCTGAGTGATGTAAATAATTTTGATAAACATAAGTGAGTTTAAATTTCTATTGACAGTGAGAAACCAATGTCATATTAATGCCATGGGGTAGATGGTGCGTGTTGACTTTAGACGTTCGCGTTTTGCTTGTGAAGTTGTATTGTATACATTATATGTAGGAGAGAGATTGAATACCAACAACTTGGAATGTCAGTTTGCAATCATAGTTGTGCCATATATATTATGGGTGTTTTAGTTCCCCATGTTTCAGCTCAGACTTCAAGTTCGTACCGAAGATCCTGAATTTGACATTGGTCTTATCTGATGACTATACTGATTTCTTCGATAGTTGGTGAAGTGACGTCTGTAGGAAGGTCTGTGTATGGTGCTTCGATATATGGTGAGTCCTATGTAGCTGGCCTATTCAAGCGTTCCTCAAAGTGTTCTGCATATCTGTTCCTCTGTTCTTCAACCTCGGTGATTGTCTTGCCTTCTTTGTCTTTGACTGGTCTCTCTGGCTTAGTATATTTTCTTGCCACCATCGTCGAGTCATGTGGTTGTTTCTCATTTCCTTTCAAGCACATTCAATTTGATGTATGCATTTGTGTGAGGAACTTGTGCCGCTATAACCGATTTGTTGAATGCACATGGACGTGCAAATCTCTCATTATTTGTGTTCATTCGTCTTAGTCCATGTCGTCCCATTATATCTTCGTATCCGTTGTTATCCACTCCGACTTTCGCGTTTAGATCTCTTGTCAGCATGATCAGGTCCTTTCCTGAGCACTTAGTCATGATCGATTGCAGCCTTCTGTCGGACTGATCTTTATTATCGTCGTTGCTTTCATTGGTGTGTGCACAACATAGGATAAAATTCACAGTATTTCCCACCTACTTTGTTTCGAATAATGCTTTGATTTTCTTGGTCTATGAAATTTCCTCCCTATAGGTGTGCTTCTTCGGACGGCATCAGAGCAACTCCGTGAGTGTGCGGAGCATTTTCCTCTTCATTAGTTGAATATGATGATTGTCTTGTTAGCACTATCAAGTACTCAGTCATTCGTCTATGGATATACCTGATGGAAAATAATCACACTAATTTTGTATTTCGCTCTCTAATTTTGTTTCACAGGGACTTCACGGAATCCATACTAAACGCACTAGCTAAATATCCTTACTCATTGTTTAGTGGAAGAAATTATGAAAAGGTTAGTTTAGAGCCTGTTTATTCTCCATCGCCTCACACGTGTTACTTTGTTTTGTCCAATATGCACACACACTATTATTCTGTGATTTAATTTTCCGGATGTGATCATTTAGACAAATCTGATAATGTTCGGTAGCACACACTCCATTAATCGTAAACAGTTTCAATGAAGTTAAACGGAATAAAATGAAAACAATCGAATTCGTCAACTACGCATTTCTGCAATTTGTGGTCCGAGATATTATCGCTAAATGGTTCAAACTCTAACACAAATGAAAATCAACACGGTGTAGAGCTACTCAGACTAGTGACTACACTGTAGTATGTTACGGAAAATTTGATGAATCCTAAGAACTAGATAAGAAGTATCCTCTTACTATTCAGCTATGAGTTAGTGGTAATTCTTCTATGTAACGTCTAGAGTGAGAATGATACAAGTTAATTCTGCAGTACTCGTTTACTGATTCATTTCTACATTGAATCCTGATCATCAATCATGCGATTTTCAAGTGTTCGTTTTATAACTTAAGAGATCAAGCTCACCAATAATGCAGCCTCTCATTTTTCATACACTGTGTATTTAAACAAACTCTCAGTCATGGAATATGCCACCAAATATACTCCGTAAACACATCAGATGTTGTTTTCAAATGCTTTTTCCATGTTATGTCAAAATCACCTGAAAGGATCCTTTCCAAATCACAATTGAAATTTTAATCTGTAAACACTCTTTAGCGTTTCTGAAGTATGAAGGAATGTGTGCAGAATCTACATGAAAATTCCTAAGTACTTGACAATATTATTTTATAATGAACTAAACACTCATTATTTTGCTATATAACTGATTGACTTCCACTATTTTTCATCTCAAATTTAAACCGTCAAATTTATGAACTGGCTACATATGAATTGTACATGAAATGACATTTTTGTCTTTACAGATCCTCCTAACAGAAGTTAATCATCAGATAGACCCTGAACTTCGAGAACAGCTCAAATACTTATTTGAGATATCCAGTGAAAAACCGAAATGGACTGAAGTGTATTCTGACATTATTCAGTGGTTAAAAGAAAATATCTCAATCGTTACCCATTTAATATAGATCAGTACTGTTGATGAAGATCAAACGATTGTTCAAGCATAAACGATGCGAGATAATTCTTTCGACTTCCCCATTGTTAGCATTAGTATCTTTTTATTCTATCAAGCCTTAGAACATCTATATGTTACTCCATATTCACACCAGTACTTTGAATGATTGCTTGTAGTAACTCGTAGTAACGTTTACTGGATATTTGTATTCATTCATACAACACTGACGTTATAATAGTTTTGTTGTGGCTTTTGATTCAAAATATTCTATATACAGAATTTCAAATAAAATACGTTGAGTATGAACGAAATGTACTTTGTTTATCAACAAAATATTGCTCTCTTAAGGCATATAAATGTGATTCAAGCTGTGAAAAAACATTTGTTGAATTTCAACTCAAGCAAATCACTTCAAAAACAGGAACACTTAACCCATTTAAAAAATAAATCTAATAACTAATTCACAGGTTCAAATTGAACTTAACTATGTAATGACTTTCTTAAAACATGATGTTGAAGTTTATGATCTCATATCAAATCGCATCCACGTCCTGACCGGTTGTTTCAATTTCCTAATACCCGTGTGTCTATGGCGCTGCAGCATTAATCCATATATTTTTAGGCAAATGGAAATGATCGGTATTAAATCCGTTGAAGTAATCAAGTGTTTCACCATTACAAACTTCTAGGGAATTGACAGTGTTAGGTCTATCGAAGCGTCCAGGTCACCCAATTGTGATTCGCGCAAAACCGAAGTTCGCGATAGCGGTTCTTTATTGAATAATACACAAACTTTAGTTACGAAACTCAACTTATGAGGTGTCTGTGGCGTTTAACGCGTCCTTTCGCATGAAATAAAAAGGCTTCGGTGGTACAAATGACAGCTGATAGGTGTGTCTAAATTCGGTAAGTTTATCAACATTTGAAAGCCGAAACGATAGCGAAACAATTTGGAAAGTGCTGTGTTAGAACAAATGCACAAAACTGCAGATAACTGTTACAGTGATCAAGGTAAAGTCATTGTAAAGATAAATACAATGGTAAATACCATAAAAGTTATAATTATATGTAAATATTTCAGAATATTACACGACAACTTGCGTTACAACGAAAGTGCGAACTTTATTCGGAATACAACTGTTCACTGAATGTGAATAAGTAATATAAAACAATGCCAAAAAGAGTGAAGGAGAAGCGAGTAAGAACAATGTAAATGAAACTCAACATCACCCATCGAAGACAGCATGTTTTCCCTTACTCTCACGGACTAGATATTTAGTGTGGAGACAATCAGATATGACAATGGTATAATTTACTTTAGCCACAGTCATTCCGCAATGTCTCACTGTTATAGCTAAAAGCTGCCAATCAGAAAAGCGAATCATCGATCGGACCAATGACGCGTGAAGCAAGTGCGTGCAGTCTAGAGTCCTAATTGGTCTTGCTTTCCACCTATCTCAGCCAGTTAATTCCAGAACACCACTCTCAGAGTATGTGATATAAATCTTTATATTTCGAACATACTGAATTCATATACCAACCAGACAGACCACAACGTAGCATATAATAGAAAATAACATTTGTACAAAATTTGGCCAAATGTGGCTGTGAATGTGTGAGACAGTGACTAATATAGGGCATAATTCAAGAGTGGCAAAACGTAAATTAATGGTTTATAAGTCAAAATAAAGTTTATAATAAGAAGAATATGAATATGAATGGTCTAGTTATTTAACAATCATACGATAAAAATATGCGTTTAGTATTGGTCCATAAAAGTATCCCAAAGTTACTATTCATTATGTTTCTCGGACCTAACACTTTCTACATTCTACTACTCAATCGTCTTCTCATTCTAATAAGCAAATTGTACGTATATCACTAGTGATTTTACCTCTCAATGTTCTGGTCTTTGCTCGTCTGACGAGACCATCTTCTCCTGGATCAGCACACACCGCCAGAACTTTAAGTCAGTTATTTCGTACGTACGTATCTTCAATGATCGAGACCAGATCGCCAGCTTACAAATCTCGACACTTTTGTGTCCATTTTGTTCGCGTCCGCAAGAGTGATAAATTTTCCTTTATCCATCGACGCCGAAATGTAGTTGCCAACGGTTGTGCTCATCGTCATTGTCGAGAATTACGTTCGCGTAGGTTTATTTCGCTGTTATGAAGATGAGGTATGCCTAAGAACAGTAAGTTGTTGGGTGACCATGTTTTGAGATGTTCTGGGTTACGGTAAACTGTTACCAAACGTATACCATCAAGTATTTGTTCTACTTCAGTCGAATAATTGGTGTGTCTCAAAAGTAGAGTTTGTTCACTAGATACTGAGCTCAAAGTTCGACGTACGCTTCTTATTAATCTTTCCCATATTCCTCTACGACGGCTTGCTTAGGGTGTATAGCAGTGCTGTTCTATGTTCCGTAGTCATTTCTTTAGCTGCTCTATTATCTTATATATCTGGTAACAGAAGTTGTAACTCTCTCTCTAACCAAACGAATGTAGATCCTCTTTCACTGCATACCTTCTTCTGCACCTCTCTTGGATTTGGATATTGCGACAACGCTTTTAGAAAGAAATCGATTGGTAATGCGCAGGCAACTTCTATATGAATAGTTCGGGTGTTGAAACATGTAAACAGGCAACCATAACACTTCCGAAATTTGCGTCCCTCTTTAATCATGGCCGGGGCGGAAATGATCTACCCCGTTGTTGCGAATGGAAATCGGGCGTTATCCACGTAGATGGTAAGTCTCCAATCAGTTGTGACTTTGGTTTGGCCAGTCTAAACTAACATCGTATACATCGTATACACCACACATCAACTCCCTCGAACATGAGAAGTCGTTTGACTGTGACGATTGGAGAACTATGTAGACCTTTCTTAGACAGCGTATTGTGTCTAAGGAGATTGTCATCATCATTCGGAATGCATATTGCGGACAACACTGCAAAGCGGTGCATGGCAGACAACTCACGGATCCATTTCGAGTGAAGAATGGTGACTGAAAAGGCTGATAACTCTCCTTTTCTTTTTCTTCTGGAGGTTGACTGGATTGTGAAGACCTCCTTATGAGAGGGAAAGCACGGAATAGAATGAGCAGCTTCAACGCGGCATGACGTCTCTGACTGTGGACACGGCCACGCTCTTCTATCACATTCACACCGCATTCCTACAGTTGAGGAAAATACTGAACTCAAAACAACCGTCTATTAGCCAATATCAAATTCAGAATCAGCGATACGAACGAGAAGAAAGTTCTATTATATGGGTCTGAGAGTTGAAGAACTAATGAAACCATTATCAAAAAGGTGCAAGTGTTCACGAACAATTGTCTACACATGATACTCAATGTTCTTTAGCCGGATACCATCAGCGACAGACTACTGTGCGAGAAAACAAAACAGCTTCCAAACCTAGAAAAAATTAGAAAATGTTTTTGGTGGTGTTTAGGACATACATATTGGAAGTCATCAAACTGCATCACTAAGCAAGCAGTAACCTGGGGCCATGAAATAAAACGAAAAGATGAAGACCAATGTAAACATGGAGTCGGGACGTTCAGGCGGACACTAAGAACGTGAATGGCAGCTGAAAACAACTGGAATTACTCGGGATAGAGTTACGTGGAGAATGTTGGCGAGTGGCCTCGATGTGGGGTAACAGGTGTACGTCAGTTGGTTTACGATCAAAAACTTGAGTTGCGAATGTATTTTACGCATTGCGATTTCAACCAAACAAGACAATAACATGCAACTTAAAATATGGTACATTATCCTCATATACTTCATGCATCATTTATACTTGCAGATAAAATAGTCTGTTACACTAGTCGGAAGTGGAATGTCAACAAGCAGAAGGTTGAGGAGATTGAAATGAAGAGAAGAAAGAAGAAAATTGAAAACAATTACGTTTACAACGGGAATGAAGGCACAGTGAAGCTTGTAAGCGAAAATTCAAAGATGATTTGCAAATGATGTCTTTGATGTATGAATTTCACATTTCACCAAGCCACTGTGTATTTTTGCATTTAACAATATATTGGTATTCACCACTTAAGTGTTCATTCACTACAATACTACTTCATTGTATAGACAGTCTTGCTTTCACTACAGTTAATTAATCAAAATGTATTTGGATGTTCTAACAAATATGCCTTTTGCCACTAGCCTATGCTAGCATTTTGTAGATCAATTGAGTTGTTGATTATATAAACCGTGGATTCTATTATTCTTTGGCTACAGACAACAAAAATGGGCTGTTCGTAAGTAAACATACAGTGACACGAGAGGCTATTCTAATCCGTTGTCCCTGGCCCTGCTGACTGCATCAATAATTCTTGATGAGACGTAGAGAATGTATTCTATGAGCACCCACAAAATAGGAGGTCACTAAGCACGCAAATCAAGCTTACTTATACAAAGACAGAAACGCCATTCTAAGAGCCACAAAATAGTGTACTAAAAATATCCGCCAACAAACGACAGGCTAGGATTTCCGAGTGGGAAATGTAAACTGTAAGTCAACTAAGCGTCTCTTGGCGCGAAAACAAAATTCCAATTTTCTGAATAAAATACAAACTCAGGACCCTTTTCAAGTGCGTTCTGGGATCTAACTTCCTCAACAGACCTCACTTACTGCTTTTTCGTAAAACTATGACACATCTTATTTTACGAATGACATTTTGTTTTCTTCTATTATTTACCTCATGTTTTGTTGATTTCATTTCTGTGGTCTGATTATGCCCTACACAAATATAAGTTTACATGAAAGTTTTATTATTTATTTATTCTATGGTGGAACTATAGAGTGGAGCCAATAGGATTTTTTAGATGAAACCTCAAAATTATCTGTACCTCATAAAACAATACTTAATTTAGCTAAATTCGCAAAGATAACATCTTTGTGGTTTATAATTATGCAACTGAATGGATAAGTTAATAGACGTATTCTTTTATGATAAAGTCACGCACAAAGGCTTATCCGTTCATTTAGGATCGGAGG